GGTCCAGCTATTAGAAGATTGGAGAAAGATAGTGTGTATGATACCTCTTCGGTATAAAATCAATTGTATTTATGGATTGCAATAAAAGACGTAAGCATCAGTGGTTTTGGTAAACATCGAGAAAGAGATAGGATGGGTTACAAAACGTCAGTTTTAAATCAACTATAGATTGGGACGCATTCCCAAATGAAACGGATCTTTTTTTATATTTTAGCCATTTTACCGAAAAGAGCTTATTTGCACGAAACGGGTTCCAAAATGTCAGAGTTTGAAAAGCATTTTTGCCAAGTAAATGTTCTGGAACTCGCCTATGTTATCGAAAAATTAAAGAAAAAGAATATTTTGGAAAGTGTTTGATGGATTAAATGTGTATGTGCTTACATAATGGATATGGGATCCTATGAATAAGGTGGACGTTTTAACCAAGTTGCTTTGGCAATGGAAACTAGATGTAAAAGGAAAAACTAGCTTAAGGGAACCCATATCAAAGAGAACACCTATGATGAACAAGAAATATAAAAATACAAAGAGACGGAACCATATGACACTGACAGAAGTGTAAAAATATTATAAATAGTATAATATTATCTTTTATATATATTATATTCAATACTAATGAAATAAAATAGACATCAGAAATGAATAAATTAGACTTAATGAATAAATTGGACTTAAAAACAACAGCATTGTATCCGCTGAAGCGATTCTTCGGCCAAGCTCTTCCTCCAATTCGTGGTTTTGCGTCTTGATGTTTTTCCAACTAATGGGCCTACCGTTTGTACTAAGCCGCTTTAGAACGGGTGATGTTTTTTTACGAGGAGCCTTTATTTCATGTCCAAAATACCCTCGGAGGGGTGCACATTTCCTACCGCGGGGCGACCGCAATTAGAAAATTTAACTTAATTTTTTATTTGAATTAATTTTCCACACCTTTTGGATGTTGGGGGCACCGGGGTATGAGCCCGAGCCTTCCGCAGGTTGGTACGCAATGCTAACCCTCTCGGCTAACGCGGCCATCCGCAGCATTAATACAACATTATTAGAAAAAAGCCCGTTTCGATTTTGTTCTATTTTACAGGATATAACAGAGATAACTTTCTGAAATTTTAAAGGAAACTGAAGTTTAGAGGTATAGGCTTTAGCTGTCTGAAAACAGCGGATTTTCGATATCCGACCGCTTTCAGAGAGCTATAACTTCACGAAAGGAAAGCGAGTTGGATGGATTCCATTAAAGTTGACTTTAACAAAAAGCTTTAGCTGCTGGTCAACCCTGAACTTCGTAAACGGTACATATCAAAATGTTTCAAACTAGGTAAATTGTAATGAATACAGTTTTTTAGTTGGAAGCTACCAGAAAAGCCCAATGTAAGCTTAGACGAAATAAAATTCGAGGAGGAGAATACCGAAGTTTGGAGTCTCTTAGTTTAATAGAAAATATCTGAAAAATCGACTTTCACAAAATTTTCTGCTGCCTTATTCGGTTATATCCTTTTGAAAATTTTTGGACCGTTACTATTTTGAGTGTACCTCCTAGGAAAAAAATTAGCTTCAAAGTCGCTGACCCGCGTGCACATACTATTTTTAAAAACTAATGGGCATGTCCATAAAGGAAGAACAAATGTGAACAGCCAAACGCTTTTGAGTGCATCCAGTTGATTTTATAATTTTTGTTTACGATTTCTGCTAGTATCTATCCGCCAAAATCGTTTCAGCGGCTACAAAGCCCCAATCATGTATTTATTAATAAGAATTTGCTTTGCCAACGCAAAGCTTCTACATCAATAATTGCATGAAGAATATCTGGTTTTTTCGAAAACGTTCTATATACAATTATAAGGTATATTATTGGGCTTGCTATTTATCATGTTAATTTCCTCTGCATCCGCTTCTCATTGTTGTAAGTTTACTTATTCACGATAAAAGTAAATAAATTTAAAAAGGGCAAAAATTCCTCGTATTTTATTAGGAAAATGCACTATCTTTAAGAAAAGACTATACTTTTTTAATAAGATAGGATAGCTTACACCGTTCGGACAAGCCTTGGAATAAACTGCAGGCTCTCCATTTTTGGAAAACACATACCACAATTCTATAAGATATCTTACAACTGCGAAGCTCCTACATCTCTAAAACAACTCAGGGATAAGGCTGGACAAAGGAGATGTTGCAGTTTTTCGAGACCACCCTTAAAGCGTTACATCTTACCCATATAACGCTCGTATTTCATGTACTGGTTCGGTAGCCAGACGGATAGCGCTTTTAGTAATCTTATCAAATATTTCGTATACTACAATACCCTTGTGGCCTGTAACCCATACAAGGAGCTGCTTTCCCGCACCCACCTTATCTACCGTCTACGTTTTGTGACGTAATACGATGTAAGAGTATTGCCTTAACCCTCGCTTGGCTATCAACGTGTAGTATCTCTGCTGCGTCCTCTACGGCGATGACTTTTGCCTGGGAAATACTGCAGTACTTTTGAAGCTTTAAGGGTTGCCTGAGATCTAACTAAACGCAACAGATTGAGTAACTTTTTGTAAGCATCCTGATATTCAGAGTGCAAGATCCATTGTATTTGCTCTAAATATTTCCACTCTACGTGCTGGCTTTCTTTCCGCGTTAACCATAATTACCGGCCCGTTCGAAATTAAAAGTATACTGGCAGAGGCTGTAACATCTCGAAAGGTTGCGTTTGTCTGTTCGCGTGCTTTATCACAAAGCTATTCAAAGAGGGCTATTTAGTGGTCATCAAGGAAGACAATCTACCACGTAAGGATTGGCGATTACGAAGAATAACACATATTTGTACAGATTCCGATAATCGAGTACCCGTAGTAAATGTTAGTTAAGAATCATTCCCATACAAATGCCTTGGAAAATCATATTGAAATCGGCGCCAGCTCACGCCTATATCAAGTCAAATTGCCATAATGGTGATTATCATGGAATTTTTGTATTTTTTAAATAAGTTGGGTTTTTTTAAGTTTATGCAAGAGCACTTTACAACGCCTTTTTAAGTGGTCATGTCTAAACAAAACCAGATTATTGGATAATGTATTTGCATATGCGCATAGATAGAACCATGTTGCTCTAGTACTTTCTGTAATATGAAAAATAAAAACAGATAAGTACAATAAATTCACAGTTAAATTATATATAATTGCGGCTTTATAACCGCTGAAGCGATTTTCGGCCGAGCTACTCCTCCAATTTGTGGTTTTGCGTCTGGATGTTTTTCCAAGAAATGGGGAGACCTCCAGTTTATATTAAGCCGCCTCCGAACGACTGATGGATTTTTATGAGGAGCTTTTCTTTCATTTATTTATATTACTTTTATTTTTTATTTTTTTATTTATATTAATTTTCTACAACTACGCAATGCAAACCACTCGGCCCTTTTAATCATGAGGTTGATCAAGCAGTAACCGTTACTGGTGTTCGATATAGCGGCATGATAGCCCAATTCTTTTTTGCCGAAGTTTGATAATATTGATGTGACCAATACGGTGCCACATATCATACAGCTCGTAGGAGGTGAAACCCTCAACTACTGCATGAGACATTTCCTGGTCGGTCTCGTTTTGAGGATCAGAACTGGACTCCTAGATCGTGTGATTTAATACCATTAGATTTCTTTTTATGGTGTTATTTAAAATCACAGGCCAATTGCAACAATTCCACAACCACGCGAGCGGAGTATTCAAGAAAATTTTTGCCATACAGTGCGTACGTGTTTGGAAAGAAGTGGAGGCTATTTTCTCGATGTATTATTTCATAAATAACCCTACCCTTCGTACTTTATGATTCAATAAATATATTAAAATTGGAAGACTAAAAATTATGTTCTCTATTCAATTCTAATCTTGCTTTGGCACAGCCTATGCAATATATCGTCTGAAATGCGTGAAAATGGCATGGAAACAAAACAAATTTGTAAAAAACCGAACCGCCATAGAAATACGAGTACAGGTAGTATTTTCATAAAAAATCCTCTTCCAATATTGCGGTAATCAACGTAGTAGTAGAAAATTAAAATTCGACTCGAGGCAAACGCCAAATGCGTTCGTTGATCAACTAAGTTGTGCACAAATAAAGCGTCATATGGACTTAAACGTTGAGGATTTGTCAAATAATGCATGAAAACCGTAACGTGAAACACCTTTCAATGGTATCGCAACCAGTCCTATTTGCTCTAGATAGACAAAAATGAATGCTTCAATGTATGGATTTCGTGGACTTGCTTGGTGGTGAACTATTGTAGTTAAATTTGCTGTTCCAGTTTACGGTGATAATTGGACGTTTCAGCAAGCTAAAGCTCCAATTCACAGTGCTAGTAAAAGCAGCGTCCAGAAAAATACCAGGATTGGACTGGTCAGCAAAAAGTCCGGACTTAAACCTCATTTAGGATCTGTGGGTAATATTAGCTGCTATGGTTTGTAAGGATGGGCGTTAGTTTAACACCTCTAAGAAACGGAAAAAGACAACCAGAAAGAATGGTCTACTATCAGCATGTTCACGCTAAGTTCTTTCGTTGAATCAATGCCATTTCATCATTTTGGGACCATGATCATGATCAAGCACATATACTAAGTATTTTATATGAAAAATATCATTTTTTTTAATTTTGTCTTATGTAAAAATTGGATTCAAGTTAAATTTAAGGTATATACAAACTTGAATGAATGAATTTAAATTTTTTTTGAATATGTCGAGCTTACTGTACAAACTATGTGGTTCTCCGGAGTCAAGCTGGCTGAACCAAGGCAAATTATACACGACAGCTTTAGCTGAAGAACTTTTACTACTGGGATCAGGCTTCTCGAGAGAAGATGTAATTTTGCAGTGAAGGAACACAAATCATTTTGTTAAATATCTGTCACCCTAGTGTGCACAAATGCGCTAAAATATTCTTAAACATAATTATTTATTTATTCTATATGTAAATATGTACATTGCACATTTACTATAACCCAGATTACAATTTATTTTATTTTTTTCAGAGCAACCGTTAGGGAACTCATTGAAACAGAAGAAGAATTTGGAAGAGATCTACAAAATATCGTTGACTGTTATATCAAAGCTGTCGATAGTGCTACGGTCCCACGAATTGTTCGAGATAGCAAAAACATTATTTTTTCTAATTTTCAACAAATCGCTGAATTTCATAAACTGTAAGAGGGACTGAGTAACGAAGATGTTGAAATAATATTGATTCTTTGTAGGGTTCTAATTGAAGGACTTAAATATTATTCAGAACAACCTAATATGATAGCCAAAACATTTCTAAGGCTTGAAAGGGACTTCGATAAACATGTTAAATATTGCGAAACAGAGCCTATTGCTCAGGCTTTTCTCATGGAGAACAAAGAAGCTACAGAATACTTTCAGGTAAGTTAGGTGAAAAAAAAAAGTTTTTATTTTGTTTGCTAAAAATTCTCTAAACTTTTTAAATGGAGAGCTTAAAAAGAGCACTCAAACGATTATTCAATACAAAAGTCAGCCGAACTTAAGGCAGCAGGTGATTTGCATTCACTAGGAGATGAAGCAGAAACCGGTCGAGAGACGCTTGCCACTCTTAACATCCTGCCCCTATTTTCCAATCTGTTGACGCCAATATTGATTACTGAATTGGCTATGTATGTGCATATAACCTATATATGTATATAATTAAATGTTAATACGTAGGCACATCGTCATATCTAACTATATATATATATATGTATATATGTATATATATATTCATTTGTTTCATTTTGATACGTTCTTTCACTACTTAATACAATTTTTTGACAATTTTTTTTATCATAAAAAACTTTATCACTTTGCCTGTATATTAATCTGTCGTATATCTGCACATACATGTGTTTAATATTTGGTAATTTTATGAGAAATAAACAAATACAAACAAGTCTAAATTGCGAACACTATATATATGTACATCATTTCAGTCCACTTTTATGTGTATGTACGTATATATGTCTATATAATAACGTGCACATATGCAATAGCAAAAATAATTATATTTAGAATTTCAAAAAATTTCGACTAACAACATATTCAATATTTTAGTCATTTTCGAGTTGCTCTAGTGAACGTGTCGAGAAACAATTTCTTAACTTATTTTCTTGTACGCTCCAAGAATTTCGTGAGCTCATTTGAATAATATATATACAAGTGTTACAATTACATAGTATATAGTATGTGTATATGAATATTTTTACATAAGTAACCGAATATATATTAAAGTATACGAATTTTCCCAAATGAAGACTTAATAATAATTAATGAATGATATTTCTAAATATGCACCACAAAATATAAAGATCATAAAGGTTTTCCTAATTATGTAACAAAACTGTGTTTACAATGGGGTACATATATACATACACATATGTATATATATTTTCTGCATAAAGTTAATAAAAATTTGAATGAGGTGGATCTATTTATAAATACACAATTTAATAATATGTGACCTTGAGCGTTTTCGTGCACGCAGTCGTATTGCTTTTTCCAGCGTTGGTGTAAACGTAAAACGGAAAAATATTTAATAGCTAAATCAATAAGCAACCCATCTAAAAATAAAAATAAAATAAACAAATCTTATTATGATATATAATACAACATAACTGAGTGATCAACCCCATAAAAAAATAAAAATAAATATCTTATACAAGAATATAATAAAATGTACAAAATGCACATAAGAATAAATATTTTTTCAAAATCCCGGCGACAGAGTGAAATAAAATTGAAACCAAATTATTAAAGTTGGAATATTTGTTGCGCCTCATAATAATAAAGGCAACAAAATAACACGAAACTAGTACAACTAGCCAAACATAAGATAAATGTAATAAGTTTTGTAAAATGTCGTCGAGGAGTTTGCCATGTTTTGTAGTTCAAAGTGATAATCATCGCCACTCTTTCCACTCCAACCAATAAATGAGAAGTGAGCGTGTATTTATTTGCCAAATTTCATTAAATCATTTGTACATAGAAAGATCACGTGCTTCTTGAATTTCTACTTGTACATACATATGTATAGATATATGTATGTTTGCTCATGTAGGAGGTTCGCCGTAAGAGTATGTTCTGAAGCTAGACCATTTTGTATTTTCATTTAATTTTTGGTAACTTTTTGCTTGGACATATTTTCGCACGTATTTTATTGCTACTAATACCAAAATACATATGTATGCAAAAACAAATTGTGCGAATTCATAATGAATATTAATGTGTCATATAATGATTTTATCCTGGACCATAGAAACGCTTATCAGAAGAACAATATGTTTCCGGACGTGCAAGCATGACGGAAAAGGTCATCGCAGATTAAAAAAAAAATGATATCTCCTAATCATCCAAACATCATTTGGGAAGTAACGAAATTGGAGTTTTCTAAGCTCAACGGAGCAAAACGTCACACATCTCGGCCACTTACAGCTATTGTGTTAACGTTAACTTAGTACTCTTATCAAATTTGTTGAACTAATAACAGACTTTAGAGCTCAATATTAAAAATATTAATATAATATTTGAAAGAAGTGCTGTTTTCGGCCATTCCGTAATTCCATTTCATTATAGCTTTCACGACAAATGGTATTTCATTATAGGATTAATTATTAGGTCTCAAATTTGAACAGATCGGTTGTATAGAGGCTAGTTGATGATTATAATAAATAAATATAATGTTTTGAAATTGTCTCCAGAATCACGGACAATGGTTCTATATATTTATAATGCCATATTGGCCAGGTCTAGGAGAAATGAAGTATGAATAATCCATATCACAATCAATTAAGAAATCATGTAAAACTATGTGTTCATAAAACTAAGAAGAGCCTGTTAGCTTTCATTAGGATTATTATTTTCTTATATGTATATTTAAAATAGACTTTAACTCTTCGTTAAGCATAGAATCTTCAGAAAGGTACATAGTTATAAGTTGAAGTCTGCTCAGATGAAATTCTAATTATATGTGTACATAAATATACATAAAAGGATACGGTAGAATAAAATATTGTATCTAAAATTTTATAAAAGATATTAATGTTGCTTGTATGTATATGGAATGCAAGATAAAGTTCTGTAGGATAAATTTTTTCCTTATTTTCTTAATTTTAATTTTAAATTTTAGTTCTGAGTGAGGAATAAAATATGTATTGGATCTGTATCACCAACAAATTGGAGGAAGGGAATGAATGTCAACGAGTTACGGATGAATATTGAAATATTTGTTTAGTGGAAAGTAATCTAAGTGATCTGTATCTCCCGTTCTAGGTGAGATTGGATTACTTCAGATGGCGTTAGATAGTTGGTTTTTTTCAACCGAGTTTCCATCTACGAATCGCTGCTGAATCGCGACCTACTTCTGTGGCGGATGGTGATTGGTGTTGAAAAGTGGATCACTTAAAGCAACGTCAAGCGAAGTTGGCACAAGCGGTCTCCAAGGTCAGGAAGGTTTCGTTGTAATGCGGACGCCTAAGAGAACTTATAACAACGATAAATCAGTTAGCAAAAAGAAGTCGGCAATCATAATTTTGAAGTCGTAGATGATTTCATCCATCTTGGCACCGGCATTAACTCCAACTACAGTGTCAGCTTTGAAATTTAACACATAATCACTCTTTTCAAAAGGTGCTACTTTGGACTGAGAAGGCTTTTAAAAAATAAAGTCTTCTCTAGACGTAAATGACCAATCTCTACGAGTAGCTCATCATTGTTCTCCTGCTGTATAGTATTTGGCATGTATGATGAAGGAGTAGTTTTTATTTTAATATGCATAGTATTAGCTTTGTTATTGCGAAAACACACTCGGTATTATGGTTTGTGAGATCAAATAGCTCCAAATTTATCTGAACATATTCCCTCTATTAATTGATAATTCCCTCTCAGGAATATCGCTTACTTTTAATTTGTCATTTTCTTTAGTTATTAAAACATCTTCGGTGACATTGACTCCTCTAATCTTCTAAATATTATATATATTAATATATCCTGTCTAAATCGCAGCTCTTTAATATTTTGTGTTATTAAATGTAAAACGGAGTATTCATAGAATTCTCCACTGGGGCTTTAAATGGTTTTAATCTTATCTCGAGTTCTATCCAACTTCATTTTTCCGTTTCGTCGAGTGTGCTTTCACATATATTTAGTTATAAATTACTTTGTTATTAGTTATGTAAATAGCCTGCAAGAAACCAATGCTAATGTTCCTAAACTGGAGGACTGGTGATGGAATTCAGCAATGCTATGACAGAGGTTGTTCTAACGCTGGATCTTAGAACTTCTGACATTATCACATAACCATCTCTATCAGCAATTGTTTCCTTTCTTCTGTCTATCTCTGCTGCTGCAGAATATTTCGCTAAACTTGTTATTAAAGATATTGGTTTAGAATTAAATGTTCGCCTTTATATTTTAGTTTCAAAACTGTAATTAGAAACTTTCTAACCATGTCGGGCTACCACAAATCCAAACATCCAAAATTATTGAAAACCTAAAATAAAATTAATTTCACTAATCGCAGTCTATAACGTATATAAATCAGTCCGAGTGTATTGCAGGTTTGAAGCAGAAACTCCTCAGGAAAATCCATCAGTCGTAGCTCTGAAAACCACTACAACTGTAATAAAGTGTCAATTATATGTCGTTTCTGGCTTCAAATACAGAATATATTCATTAAAATCAAAAACTTAGATTTGGTAACCCTGAATAGGAAACATGTTTGTCCACTTAGCCAGCAGTGTTGGGACTTACGCTCCTCTCATAAACAACTGCTTAAACCAACTATTACTGGGATTGTCTCCAAACAGGAAACTTTTTTGACCATGACCATGACATCCATATTAAACGTAAAAGCGCTGAAAGAACTGAGATGAGGCTTAATGTTGTAAAAATGCAGGTGGTAAAATACAAATCAACAAAAATAACGAAGAATAATAACTATGAATATTTGCAATATTTAAGAATTTTTTACCGGCTGATAATCAGAGATTTCGTTAAAATTTACACCGTTGTACTCTATATGTACATACGAATGTTTGGCTAAATCTATGCATAACTCTTTTTCCTTTCGATATAGGTGTAGGTGTCCTTCCCAAATTCGGCAACAAGTAAATATTTATATATTAATCGTTTGTTCTATTTACGCATTCAAAGAAAAGAGTTTGTCATTAGCAGTTATATAAAAAAATAAGGCTTATTCCTTTTAAATTAATATTAACTAACATTTTGAATAATTTTGATTGTTATAAATGAAAGGAACAGCTTTTCTGATTACAGGGTTTTTAGAAACTTTACTCTGAATGGAAAAAATTATTACACCAGTCGCTTTGCTGGCGATAATGTTTTGTTCTAAAAAAGTTTATTAAAATCTGCTCAGTGTTTTTTGAGTTACAACCAAGTGTACAAAACATTTATTTGTTTTTTTTTTTTTATTATTACTTTCCAGAAAATATCGAAATTGATTGGAGACGACAAAAGCCTGTGCGAGCATTTGAAATTACCGATTCAACGAATAAATGATTATCAGTTTTTATTAAAGGTATTTTTGTACATATTATGAAATTAACTAACGGTTAAAATATGTAACTTTATATTTTCATATAAATAGTTTGAAGAATTCTGCACATATTTAATTTTTGCTTGCACTAATAAACTACAGTTAAACGAAGCCATGTAATTGTCGCATCCATACATCTAAAAGATATTATTTAATAAATATTTAAAAAAATTTTAATTTCATGCACTAGAGAATGCAACTAATTTCATGCTACTAAATTTATCTCATTACTTAGCATATACATATATACATATAATTAAATTTAGAGCACAAAATAAATATTTAGAATATAACATACACCATATATGCAGGAAACACATATAGGTAAATCGGTCATTTGATAATAATTGGAGAACGTGTAATATATTAGATCATTACATAAGTTTTTTCTTAAAATAAAAATAAACACTTGCTTTAAATATTTGGTAAATAATAAATGTGGAAACTAACAAAATACGTGTCACATCACATTTTATGTGGTAATATAAAAAAATTGTATTTTCGACAAAATTTCTATAATGGGCATATTTCATAATGTAAACACATCTTCATACATATATAAAATAATATATAGTATGATTGTAGAGTGAAAGAAAAACATTTTGTAGTTTAGTTATGTTTTACAAAAACTAATTGTGTCATAGGCCTAAGTTCTCATCAAAAAACTGTATTAAGCGAATGTACATACATACATACAATGCTGTTGCAATTGGAAAGCTACAGTTACGCTTATGAAGAGTTATCAATTAAGGTATATTTGGTAAATCGATGTTAATAATTTTATGAGTATGGTTTGTTTTATTTCAGGAATTAATAAAGTACTCACAGTATGAGTCCGAAAATACCAAAGACTTACAAAAAGCTTTGGAATTAATGCTTAGCGTTCCTTATAGAGCATTTCATAATAAATTTTTATCTAGTATAGAGGGATATAGAGGTAATATTAATAAAATTGGACGTTTAATTAACCACGACTGGTGGACTATTAAAGATCGCGGTCAAAAGTCCCACGATCGATATTTGTTTCTCTTTAAATCGAGGATTCTAATAACAAAAGTAAAGAAGATAAGTGATGAGCGATCGATTTTTGTTTTACAAAACATTTTAAAATTGCCCGAATGCAATATTGAAAATAATACTGTAGAAAATGTCCTATGTATAACTGATAAACAGGAAAAGCATGATTCTTTCTTACCGGTTACATTAAAGCCTCACAAATTAGAGAGGCGAGACGAATGGTATCACGAAATTGTTTCACATAGAGGCGATGATTCGACATTGCAGGAACACTTAGCAGATGATTTACGCGTTGATACTACCCATGTACTACATGAAAATGAGTTACTCATTCATTTACCACAGAAAGCCGAAGCGCATAACCCCTACTCAGGAATAAAAGCCTCAGACGTAGCTAAAGATTACTATTTGAGTGAAGAAGAAAAAGCAAAATATTTAGCAGAGCAAAATCTGTTGCTTTTGCACAGTAACGTGCATTCTAAAGAATGTAGTACTCAAGGAGGAAATAAACAAACGAATATTAAAAATAAAGACGCTGTAACAGTAAATAAAAATGTAACTACCCAAAACGTTTCAATATCTAGTGAAATTGTCGAAAAGAAAAATAATTCAAATGAAAGTTATTCCCAAGAAGGAAGTACCCAGACATGTATTAAAAGCAAAGAAACTTTAACCGAAACAGGAAATAAAAATGTAACCACTCAAAACGTTTCAATATCCAGTGAAATTGTCGAAAAGAAAAATAATTCAAATGAAAGTAATTCCCAAGAAGGAAGTACCCAAATATGTATTAAAAGCAAAGAAATTTTAATAGAAAATGTAGATGTAACTTCTCAAAACGTTTCAATAATTGCTGGAACTGAAACGAATGAATCGACCGAACGTATAGAGTTAAATAATCCATGTAATGTGTTAAGTATCGACACAAAATCAGCTGAAATCGATTTAAATTTCGACGCAACGAAAGAGAAAACTATTGTTGGTAAGAACAACGAGATATTAAATAGTACAAATATTGAGTACCCACACAAATTAATACCATTGCCACAATTGACCGAGACACCTAAAAAATTGGAGTCAAATAAAACCATCACTCTGAATGATATTCCCTTTTATAATGAATCATCTAAATTAATTTATAATGTTACTGCTGCTTCAGATGATAGGAACAATCAGAGTCAAAATAAGAATATTACTAATATTAAAGATAGTGCTTCGCTTCAACAATGGTCTAATACTTTAACTAACCTTATTACTATGCCTTATCAAGGTGGTGGAACTTCAGATCCTCCACCACCACTACCGCCAAATTTTCATCGCATGCCCGGTTTTTTTGAACCGCTTCCACGCATATCTTATGAAACTACTATAGAAATACTAATAGTTAAAACACGTCCGCCATCGCCTCCGCCTTTACCGCAATCCATAAAAAAGCTTGTACTGCATAATGAAAGCTTAGAGCAGAAATCCGAAAATTTTTTAAAGGGTATTTATGATTCACAATGCTTTGATACATCTATTCATACCGCAAAACAAAAATTACGCTACATTAAAAGTGCTGTAATAAAATCAACTGATTCTACTAAATATGCTGAAGATACAGTTAAAAAGGCTAAAGCTCGTGATTTCTTACATATATTTACTCCCCCATTAAAAAATAAAAGACCAATCTACGAGATCGTCGAAATTCCAATAACTGAAACCCAATCGCAAGACAATATTGAAAGTATTAATGAGGAACACAAGGAAGTAGGCACAGATATTGAAGTAACAGGTCAAAGCATTATCAAAATGGATGACTATATGTCTGGATACTCCTCCAAATATTCGAGGAGGCGCGCTGAACGTAAGTTAACAATTCCCAAAAAAAAAGAAGATATTTCAACATACATATGTACGTAATCGTATATCTTGTGTGCCATATTTTATATGTTTATGAGTATTTTCTTGAGTCCTTATTTGTGTATATCTATGTATGCATATAAATTCGCTACCACCGTCTTGTCTTATGTCTTATCATAGATTAAAGAGTATATATAGATGAACTAGTTCGTATATATTTACATATGTATGTATGTATCTAAATATATTAATACAATTAAATTATATCTCTGAGACAGATAAATTATCGAAAGCGAAAAATCGTAATAATAATAACAAGAGATATCTAGATCAAAGCAATTTTACTATTGAGATGGTTCTTATAATCTAAATATTATTTGTTAAAACTATAACGAATATATGTAAATAAAAGCGCCGTTATTAGTTTGCCTTTGGTGGCCAATAATCAGATATTCCAACGTGGTTCTATTGTGAATCGCGAACTCGATTTAATGGAAGTGTTCCTTTATTTTATGCTTTTTTTCAATTCATCATTTACATATAATATTTGCGTTCGAGTTTTTCATGGCTATAACCGAAGATATAATAACATCTCATGTTCGTGAGAGATATACAAAATTAGTCTTAGATTCATCCCTTATTCCTTAACAAAACCAATAATTTCCTTAATAATAAAAAAACACTTTGAATTAACACAAAAGTCGATCTATATGAAAATATATATTCTACTAAAATAGACTGCACTTATTGCAAGCGGCTTAGGCAAACTGTAAAATGTACGAACAAAATGAAATGATGGAGTTAGACTGACAAGAACTCTACAAATGCAAAAAACAATCCCTGAATATATCAAATTGATAAACTAAGCCAAAATGTCTGGAATGACAAGAGGAACTGTCCGTTGAAAAATTTAGATATTTTGACAAAACTGTCTCATTTGGTTGTGTAATTGGAATGAATGTGCCTAGGTATTTCTTCGAGAATTTTGCTCAAAATCGTTTCTCTCGTTTAGAATTTCTCATAAAAAGCAATTGTTTGTTCGGTACGTCTAAAAACTCTAGGTCCTTTCTGATAAAAAAGAAGTTCGACTAAAAAGTATATATATTTGATCCCTGTTTCATATTACAGAAACATGGAAATTGCGACATAAAAAATGGCCATTGAAAATAATGAAATAGGCAAAAGAGTGAGAAAAGATAAAACTTAGTAGCGTTAACCTACTTTTCAGTTAGAAATTGTTATAGAGTTTTTCACTTCTAAATAATTATCATACTCAGCCTTGGGTAACAAAATATGTACTTGAGTTGATATATACATATATTTAAATATTGTCTGCATATAAAACATGATTAATTCGATAATTTAAGTCTGATAAAAGTATGGATAATTGAAGCTCTTATATATTTGCTGGCCTCCTCCACCAATTTGTGGTGTGCGCTTAGATTTAAAGGGATCTACAGTTTATTTTAAGTAGCTTCCGCACTACCGATTAATTTTTATGAGAAACTTTTAATTGATGGTGTATTTGTCTGGTCTGGAATCGAACCCATGTATTGTATGTATGTGTATAGTTCCTCTCAAATATCAAATGCATTTGCATATTTGTATTTATAAAATGAATATATGTATGTATATATTTAGGTACGTATATCACCGCTAGAAATTATGATATCGAAAAAATAAAGACTAAGAGTGAATTGAGATTTTAAATGTTAGAATCAATATTCCATTAGAAAACTTGGATATTGACTACAGTGAAATACTATTCTCTTTTTGCCGAAATAATAATATTATTCAGTGAATCTTTTCATTATACTTTTAAAAACTTTTAAATTCAGTTTACTACTGATATTTGCATATACAATGCGTACATACGAGTATATCAGTGTTCACAATCCAAAGTCGCAAGCTTTTCCCGTCATTAGATCTATGCTAGTTTTTGAATTAACTTCTCTCTGCTCTTACTCTTCTTAATCTTTATAAGGATTTTTCAAAGTACGATAATTTGTAACCGCCATGAAGACGCGAAATATTTTGCTGAGATATTTGTAATACAATATATTATATATTTTACGCATTTCTTATATATGAACATGTATGTACATACGAGTATATACAATATTATCATGACTATATTATGTGTATGCAAACAATGATTCGAAAATAAAAAACGGAATATATCTTTTGATACAGATACTTGCTTTCTTCAGTACATCTTTTTAACACAAAGCAACGAATTAATATTTAATTAGTCTTATATTTTTGATATGTCAGCTTGAAAAACACAAGGCAAATTTCTTGCAACCAAAAGGAAAAGAAAATATTTTGATGTCAAAAGGTTCACGTCAGCTCTGTATACATACATATTTAGTTTTATATAAATATATATATATATATATACAAATATGATATAAAATAGTAATATTATATCAATCATATCTTTTTGCTCTTTGAAAGTGAGCTCGACGACACGAGATTATGATAGAGGATCTTCATATGACAATTACGGTGACACTTTGAGAAGTTCAGCAAGTTCCAGGATTGAAAGAAGGAAGCAGGAGGACAACCGGTCAATATTTTCTTCGAGCCGTGCTGAGAGTCGTACTGAAGATCATTATGGATCGAGAATTGCTACACGATCGTCGTCTCGCATGATGGAAGAACATAATTTGAAATCAATGGAAAAGCCAGTCATTCTTAGACCAACTAAAAGTGTTCAGGTGCAGCGTAAGTAACTTTCTTACTTTTGTTTTAAATAAATATGTGCACCTTCATTACTATTTATATACTCGTATGTATTGGAGTATATTCATTTGTTTTAAAAGGAAGTGTGCACGCTTGGGATAGAGATTGTCTACAAAGGCGATGCCGAAAATTTGACGAAGGTATCTCCATGTCTATAAAAATGTATACTTCCCGCAAATAGACCAGTTCCCATTTGCTTGAAAGTTAAGTTGATAGCTTTTTTCTTGAATTAATTTCCGTAAAGGGGATCATGGGTGAATAGATGGATGAAAATTAGTAAGCTATGCTTCGATATGTTCATATTCACATTTTCCTGGAAGATAGTGAAAAGCAAAAATGCAATTGAACTATGAATAGACTCATATCTGATAAACACCCCCATAAGTAGGCAAACAAATACGTAGCTAGATCAATAATAGCTGTAAGAAATTTAATATGTTGCCTCAGACAAAATTTAATTAGGACTCTTCGTTATTGTTTTCCTAACAACTCTTTAAAATATCAATTATAAAATCTAAAAAGGACAAAATACAGTAAGCCACAATAATGAGGGACCGGGTCTCCTAGTTTATAGATATTTATGAATATAAATTTATATAAACAAGAAGCTTCTGGAATGGCTGCTTCTTCAAGTATTTACATGACGGCAACTGAAGCTGCGCAGCCGTCGATTGTAAAAGCTTCTACCTGCTGTCTTAATAGTGCTCCAGTTTTTTAGTGCATGCTGAAGTTATTGATGCTTTTCGAAACGTTCTTATAGTAGAAGTTCTTCTTCACAGTTTTCTGACAGTTTATAAATTATGCATAAACTTTAAACATAGGTTGCGTTCCCTTTTTTTATTTGCTATGTTTATGTCCGTCCTAACGCCAAATCATTTCTCTTTGAGAGCTACTTTTATGTATATCACTTTAGTTAACTGAAGCCTCAAATTACCTTAATAACGACTATCACGGCGTTTGAGCTGTTCAATAGTTGAAAGCTAAAGCTTTCGTTATTTGCCGTAAGAGTTAAAAATGCATTTACATAAAATCATATGTACATACATATGTATGCATATGAAAACTGGTTATTGTTTGCTTTTATTATTTCTTATTTACTTTTAACCCAAATCAGATTTCTTATAATCTTATATGTTCTACGTCTTTCCATCCATCTGCTCCTTAGCAGTACAACATACCTTCTGTCCATCGATATTCTATCCACGTTTTTGTGATATCTTTGCCCCCTGAAATGTTGCATATTTTTGAGGATATTATTTCCTGTTTCGTTTATGTCGAGATTTTATATTAGAAGACTTCTAGTGAAAAATTCCGAGATTTTTTTTTATAGTACTTTTTAACACTCTAATAGACTTTCGTACGTTTTTTAAGATTATTTTTCTTGCTTTTAAACCCGTTTTCACGTTGTTATCGTTTGACAAGAACTTACTCCAGGACAAATTATAAGAGGCTATAAAAATAATGAGAAAGGATTTAAAATTCCACCGAGGAATGTATTGACATATATACGTTCATATAGGATTGTACGAATTATATGAAAATATTTATTTACATCATTTATTAATTTCGATTTCCATAGCTGGTGAAGCTGCTCATTTTGAAGTACAATTTGCGGAAAAACCAGGGCTAGTCGTTTGGCTAAAAGACAACAATCCGTTGGATGATAGACTAGCTGATCGCGTTATTCAAACCGAAGCCACAATGAATTCATATCGACTGGACATTAAAAACTGCAGGTGAATATGAATGTTTGCACTTCCTTACTTTCAAACGAAAGTCATGATTACACATTGATTTATTGCTTATTAAATAGATCATGGTAAATTCATATACATTATTGCTTCAATTCAAGACTGCTTGTAAATTTATTCCTTTTATGTTTTTTTTGGTTCCGATCTTTCTAGAATTAAGTCATTTTAAATATATGGCGATGTGCAAGGGTTAAGCTTGGAAGAGACTTCTTTTTGCTCAGTCAAATGGACATTTTAAAGTTTAATAAGTGTGGATTGTGATAATTTTTATGAAAGGGGATTAAAAGGAATATCTTCGCTTATCCAAACCATTCCACCATCTACACGCTGATTTTTAGTAAATTTCAAAAGCCGTTAAAATTTCGGAAATTCACAAATTTTGTAGATCTAAAGCAAATAAGATTTGCATGTATTTCCAATCCATTGAATACTAATCTAAGACGTACTTTTTTAGATTTAAATTTAACTTTTTTAATTTTCCCACTTCCATTTTTTTTTTCTAAGAATTCTTAAGCTGAAATGTAAGCAAACACGAAGGTTTATAGAATACAAAGTTACGAAGACCAACTTCGTCATATTAAATACAGTTGACGAGATAGATGTACATATATATTTAAAAAAAAAAGTAAATTTTTCTTTTAAAAAATATATATGGCTAGATGCTAATAAAATAGTTATGGGAAAAATTTTCTTATACAAAAGAAAACACATATTTTTTTGGTACCTCCGCGTTAATACCTAAGTACCAGTAATATAAATGAAATATTGTCTTCTACATGTCTCGTACTTAACTCGAGTTAATTATCCGATTTTCTTAATACCAAAATATCAAGTTTTCAGCTCAAAAACGTACATCTCAAAATTCATAAAATGGTTAACGGATCTGTTATAATATCGCACCTTAGTTTTATTTTTTCTGAAAATATTGTATTAATATGAATCACTCACAACATTTTTTTTTTTAATTTTCGCACTCATTCACTCTCGCTCTAACTCACTGGACACTTTTTCACCTCCTCGAATTTTTAAACACAAATTTTTCACAGAATAAGCATCACCCATTTCCCAAAAGATTTTCAGCAGAAAAATATGCGAAACTCTCTTTTTATATTAAATATCTTATAATAATGCGCGTTCGCTTGAAATTTTGATAATTTCTAACGTTTTTGACATTGTTTTCTGATGCAATTGGTATTACATGACATCAGAAGTTAGAGAATTTATACAGCTAAATTTTTGCTAAAAAATAATATTAATTTTTATAATTAAAAATTTTTGGAAATTAAAATACATTTGTTCGACATAAAACTATTCAGGACGATATAGATTATGGTATTAGCCAACACAAGCTGAAATGTAATATATATAATGTAATATATTATTATTATATTGCAAATCTACAATACTGATCAATAACACAGGCCGACAAAATTTGATTGAACTATGTAACCAGGAACAGAATTATACTTCTCCAAAGGTTTTTGAAGAGCTAAACCCGAATCTGGATTCAAAACAATTCCAGCGCGTCAAGTTAGTGAGATATTTCAACTAAAGTGCAAAAAACACGTACTTGAGGACATGGCATCTACCTGAAAGTTCCACTTCTACTCTTCAAAAGCCGTTTTGAATTTTTAAAAAAATTTTTTGCCAAATTTTGAATAGCAATGATCTATCCATTATCAGCCGCGGCATATTACAATAATACAGCGCAATAATCACATACGTGTACTCGTAGATTGGCAGACGGCTTCATAGCAATTTCATTTTAAACGTATTTCGATTTCGATTCATTCCATATTTTTGCCACAATAAAAGAAAATTGTGGTTTTTATTTTGATACTACTTTTAATCATTTTATATGTTTTCTAGTGAGTCCGATTCGGGCACATACACGGCCAAAGCAACCTCAGGAGTTGAAAACACGTCATGTTCTGCGCAACTAGCAGTAGGTCAAGGTAAATATAATAAAATATTAAAATTTAACTTAAATTCAAGGAAATTCACATAATGAAAAGTCAATTACTAAAAATCGATCATGCTTCCATACAAATGTTGAAATAAATACGTGTTTTTGTATAGGACTTTTAACTATCCACTTTAAAATTACTTTTAGGGCTCTTTCTGTTGTTTTCTGTATTCTTAACGGAGACTCCCTAAAATTAAATTGTAACTGCAACGGCAAACTGTGGTTCTTAATTTTTTTACAATTGAAAATCTCACAGAAAAACCAGCATTATATTTATATGAATGTTAAATAACACAAATATTGAAAAAAAAAAAAAATATTTGAAATAAGTAAGGGTGCGTTGTGGAGACATGATACAGAAAACATATTTGTACTACTTTTCTAAAATATATTTAGTGAAATTTATTAATTTAATTTATTATACCATTTGTTAATTATAAAACATTCTTTTAGCTAGATATGATTCCTACATGTTTTCTGAAAAGTTGTGCGAAAAATCTGTATTTCCCTAGAATTGGAAGCAAGCCTCTTTATATAATATTATACATATAATAGTGGTTTTAGGTCTAATATTGAAAATTATAGAGGTATTGCAAAAATATCCGCTATACCAAAGCTTTCTTTACTTATTCAAATAACATTCCCGATCTCCTCACTACTTTCCAATTCCCAACAAAGGTTTTGTAAACGAAAATCAACACTTACAAATTTGCTTTAATTTCTTTGGAGATAGCAAGCAAACTAAATAACACCGAGTTCAGAAAAGCATTTGATAGGATTAATCACCAGAAACTAGAGCTTCTGGGGTTTCAAACAAGTTTTCTTCAATGGGCTTCCTCATGTTTTAGCAATAGAACACAACGTGCGACATTTAAAGGCACTTTGTCTAAATTAATTAATGTCTCATCAGGAGTTTCTTCAAGGCCCGATTCTGTTTCTATTATTTATAAATGATACATATTTCTTCCGTAATAAAGCATTCAAATATTAAAGCTTTTTATATCATATACCTCATTTGACGAAAGAAGTTTATTACAAAATGATATAAAATATTTAGTTTGATAACAATAACATGCCAATTCATAACAGTAGTCTAGAACAAGTGTACAACTTTATTGATTTCTGAATTATGATGGACCCTAAGTTCAACTTCCATTTTCATATCGTATTTAAAAACTCTTATGTAACTAAAGCACTGTATACAACTTTATATATATATATAGACAAATGACGCTTTGCAACCACAGAACCAATTGTAGCTTTGCGTCTTGATATTTTTCCAACAATTTGAGGGACCCATAGTTTATACTCTGCTTCCTCCGAACGGTTGATGGATTTTTATGAGGATCCTTTATTTCATGCCGGAAATACACTCGGACCGCAGTTAGAAAATTTAGCTTAACTCTTTATTTATTTATTTAAATTAATATTCAATAACTCTTGGATGCTAGTACTACACCAGGACTTGAAGCTGAGCCTTCCGAATGGGAGCAACCAGCCGGCTACCGCGGCCGCCAACTTTGTTAAGGCCAATATAAGAATATTTTTCACTAATATGGAACCACAATTATCAAGTTTATTCCGATAAGTTAGAGTCTGCTCAAAAACAATTTTTACTTTTTGAATTTAGTAATTTCCGATAGAATTCTACGATAAATCTTCATCCCTATACAAACCGTTTAACGCTTCTAAATCTGCCTACTCTCGCAAGGCGTAGAAAAATTTTAAGTTTATTGATCGTAGTCAAACTTCTTAACGTAACAATTTTTAGTTAATTGCTCTTGTCCGAGGTAAACCTTAAAGTCCCAACTCATGTATCTAGGCAATTTAGGCCTTTACTATTAAAGTTATGTGAAACAAATATGAACTGAATGAGCGTTTTCAGTGATTGGGTGGCAATTCTTATTTTCATTCCAGCACCTTCTCAGATCCTGCACTTTGACCTTTCTATAAATGAAAAAAGCTGTTTAAAGAAATTATTTTTCCGGCTCTGAGCGGCAATTTAACATTGACAATGACATTCACCAACATTCATGTTTTTGTCTATTAAATTTACTAATTTGTTTATAACTAATATAATAGCAAACCTCATATTTTGTGGTAGACTCTTTTATATTATTAAAATTTCGTACTCGAATGAGTTGCAAAGGATGAACATTTTTTCATAACTTTTGAGAGACCACTTGACCTATAAATACACATATAATATATAATATACAATACATTTATATAATTAGCGCTTTGTAAATGCTGAAACGATTGCTTGGCCGAGTTTTTTTTCTATAATTTTATATATCGTGCTGGCTAGGTCTTGAGGTCATGATCTTCCAAATGGTAATACGCACTGCTAACCACTAGACTATTTTTTTCTACAGATTTAAAATATTATTATTCAAAAATATATAATCAAATAGAAGAAACTTTATAAGAACAATAACTTATCACATGGATAATTAGAAAAAAAAGCTTTTACGATAAGCACAACTGCTGAGTCAATAATTTTAAAAATTCTACAGGAAATAGAAACACACTTGTTAATTTGTTTAACCTTTACAACTAAAACAATTTTTCATATGATTATTCATTTTTTTTGAAAGTTTATTAACACATATCCAATACATCTCTACAATAGAATATACTCTAAATAACTTTTTTGTTGAAGACAAAGTATAAAAATAATAATTAAAATCGTGTGGCCGTGTCGTTAGCCCTATTTACTGACTTCGGAAGGCCAATGTTCGAGTCCAGAATACAACATCCAAAAATGATAGGAACCAAATTTTTCTAATTGCGGCATGAAATTAAAGCTATTCAAAGCGCTAATTACAATTAAAGAGTATAATAATTTTTTGTAAAATGGACTTTGTTAAATAAATATCGATTGATATTGATAATAGAGTGCGCGAGGAGCCAAAATAAGAGTGGGTTAGAAACGCCCATACAATATCATCATTTTTGCGAAACACTTTCTTTGAAAGCCCTGCACATGAAGGGTGGCATAATCTATTACTATGCCAAATCATCAATATTTTTATTCAATAACACATGTATTTATTGTATAACTAATAACTTTTTTATTTCAGTTGCCGGACATGATGAAACTAAAACAAATGTTCCCCCAGTCTTCCTTGTTCAGCTAAAGGATGCTGAGATGCTGGAACATACACTTTTTCGGTTTATGATTAAAGTAATGGGCGACCCGAGACCTCGAGTGAAATTGTAAGTTTTTTATCAGTAACATACAGTTAAGTACATTTGACAATATCTCTTGGGCTTTGACGATGGGAAACGAACGAAATGTAACACAGGCACTCATTACAAAAATATACGCAAATTTTACGCATCAAAAGTGTAAAAGTGTAAAGTTTCTTCTATATAAAAAATTTTATACACACATATGTATAAACATTTGTACATGTGGTACTTACGTCCTCTTGAACTATTGTATGTATCCCATTTCTTTGGAACTTAACTAGAGCACTTGAGCACAATTCAGAATCTTTTAAAAAGTACTATAATTATATATCTCAAGATGTTCCGGAAATATCGAGCAAAGTGTTAAACCTGATAACTGAAATTTTGTATTATACAATGCGGTTTTCGAAAGAAAGATTTTTTAAAGCAGGTGTACTCAAATTTCTGCTTAATAGGATTATCTTAAGAATATAAAACGGTTAAACACTTAATTATTTTATGAATATTTTAAGATAATTGACTCTGTTTAAGAAGTTTTAAAATCTTTTTTACTATACTCGTATACTTTTCAAATTCATTACTAAATAGTTATAGTATAAGCACACACACAAATATACAAATTAAAGTTACCAAGTTACCCCGAATATTTGAATGAAAGATTGGTAAGCTTAAGCTAAGTATTTTGAATAATCTCTGCTAAATGCCTTGGCGTAGGTAAGCAGTGGTATATAATTACAAAATTAGTATAGTCGAATCAGTTTTAGCGCGCCATTCATCTCTCGTTTCTGGCACCAGCTGCTAATTCCAAGTGAAACCAGGTCGTTATTCACCTGATTCTTCCAAACGGAGTGGAGGTCTTCTTCTACCTCTGCTTCCACCGGCAGAATATATTCAAAGCTGGAGTGCTTTCATCCATTCGGACGACATCACCCAACCAACGTAGCCGCTGTCACGCCTCTGTGCGTTTTAGTTGAACGGGTATGATTTTGATTTTCGTTTGCCCAGAGAGGACTTTTTTCAATTGCCTACTCAGTGGCATCTGCCGGCCACAGTGATTCTGCGTTGGATTTCAAGGCTGGCATTATTATTGGTGTTGATGATGATTCCTAGATAGACAAAATTATCTACGACAGTCATAACTGTCACCACCAACGTGGGAGCCGAGTCGCGAATGCGATGACTGTTTGTTTGATGATAGGAAGATATTTCGTTTTGTCCTCGTTCACTGCCAGACCCATTAGCTTCGGTTCTCTATCCAGCCTGGAGAAAGCAAAACTAACTGTGCGGTTGTTAAGGCCAATAAATATCATTATTAATGGCGTACGCAAGTAGTTATGCACTATTGTGAAAGATTGTACCTTCTCTATTCAGCTATGCGGCTCCTTTTCAATTCTGACTCCGCTTCAGGTATTTTCTAGCGTTAGTTAACACAACCGTTAAAGTTTTTCGAGCATTACTCTTGTCGGCCTGCTTTTCAAGCTCAACATACTCACGCATTTTGGACTCTTTCTTTTTTGGTCTGCAAATGCTTCTTGCTTCCCTCTGCAGCTCTCAGTATCTATGCTCGAAAAATCTGTGAGGCGATATGACGACTTACAGAAGGTTTTACGACAGGAGCACGCTTTTGTAGGACACAAAGAGGTGAGCTATCAACCGATGCCCAGAGCACATTGAATATATGGAGGGAACACTTGTCCAGCCTGCTGAATAGCAATGAAAATGGAGTATCAGGAGATGGTGAATCCGAAACCCCAATCGGTGTCGATGGAAAAGACGTTGCATTACTTGACCATGAAGAAATTCGAGGAGCAATCGACCGCATAAGCTACTTTGCAGAATATGGTCAGACGAAAGCATGACCGATGATAGAAATTAAGTTTGCTTTGCCCAATCCTTAAAAAAGGGACCAAACAGGCTGCGTAAATAATCGTGGTATAACCCTCCGTCAGGATTGGGACGGACCTCTCCGAGCCGTTCAATACCAAACGAGGTTTCGGACAAGGTGACTACTTATCTCCCACGTCACTGCTGACAGTCATAACTTAGATCCTTGAAATCCAGCGCAGTATCACTCTTCCCAACTGGTGCTACTTTGGACTGAGTAGGCGTTTGAAAAGTAAGGTTTACAAGTCCTTCATCGATCCCGTCCTGTTATATGTACGATGACAACATCTGATGAGTCGGCATAACGAGTTTTCGAGAGAAACGTTTTACGTAAGGTTTATAGTCCTTCGCGCATTGAGAACGGCGAATATCGCAGACTATGGAACGAGGAGCTGTACGACTAATACGGCGACATTGGTTTAGTTCAACAAATCAAGAAGTAGCGGCTACGCTGGCTGAGTAATGTGATCCGGATGGATACGAATACTCCTGCTTTGAAAGTTTTTGAAGCAGAGGAAGAGGAAGAACTCCAGTCCGTTGGAAAGACCAAGTAGAGAAGTATCTGGCTGTATTTAGTATTTCCAATCGGCACCAAGAAACGAATGGTGCAATGTTGTTAGCTCGGCTATAATAGCGTAAGCGGTGTCTACGTCAGTAAAGTAAGTAAATAAGTAAGGGCCCCAAAACCCTTCGCGATTGCCTCTACTAAATATTTATCTACTTACTAGCTGAACACTGCAGTGCTTCGCTGTACCAAATACTCATTGAATGTATGAAAAATGAATAATGGGATATCTTTTTAACATAACTTTATTTACCCAATACTTGTGGGAATGCAACATTCGAATAGATCAGTCTCTTGTCCACTTCCAGGAGAGAAGATTAGTCCGAGTTTTTTGATTTCCTGGTCCATTTTCCGGAGAGTAGTGTAAACTTCCTGTTACTTATGTAACGAATTTCAAATAAAACCAAACCATAAATAAGATTTCTTAGAATAGGTAAGGCCATGGTCCACTATTCGAAAAACCCTTCCCAGTAATGATAGAAACATTCTGACGAAATTTGAAGAACACTCGTTACAATCGAACATAGAAGTTTTTTCGAATTTGTTTTTCTTATAAAACTTCTCAGGAAGAAGAAACAATCTAACGAAATTTTGAGTCAATCGGTAGATAACTCTTAGAGATTTTTGGAGATTACAGGATTTTTCCAAACGGACATAGGATTATTATATTCCCTATTAATTATTTTATAAAATAATAACCATTTAATGGAAAAATTATTTGATTCAGCTATAAAGATGGAGAAGAAATATCGGAGGAAGATCAGCGTATTCAAATAAATCGAGAAAAGGATTATCTTGGATACTACGAGCTTGTTATAAGCGAGGTACAAAAAGTTGACGCTGGAGTTTACTCCTGCAAAGCTGTAAATAAACATGGAGAAGCCCAATGTGAAGCGAAGGCAACTACTGTGGGTAAGATGAAATATCCTACGTCTTATAAGAAATGTACAACTCATTTGGTGTATACAAGTAAATATATACAAGTACTTATGTAGATAACGTTGAAAAATAAATGAAGCTTTCAAGATACGTATGCTAAGTAAGCAATAATCTTGCGCTGTGACAAATTCGCAGCATAGAGTCCTATAATTTTTGCATTCCATGCAATGCAATAGTTGGAAATAATGCTGCTGTTTGTGTTTTAAATATTGCTCAACGGCTTCTCTAACAAAAGATTAGCGACATATTGCCATTTAGTATAGGTTGCTTTTTTTATTATTAGAAAATATTATATATGGGTTAATTATCCAGATCGTCGTTATTACTGTTTATAAAAATTCTGATGAAACTTTAATTTTCATTCTAATCATACATATAGAAGACAAAAATCCATTTGGATCCTTAAGTGGACAAATTCTTCCACCTGGAGAAAAAGCCACATTTGTATGGAAGCGAAATGGTGTTGAGTTTGATCCTGAAGAGAGATTTAAAGTTTTGTTCGGCGAAGATGAAGATTCATTGGCTTTGGTGTTTCAACACGTTAAACCCGAGGATGCTGGAATTTATACATGTGTAGCACAAACCACAACGGGTAATATATCATGCAGTGCAGAACTTTCGGTTCAAGGTGCTATACAAACGTTACATAGAGAGCCTGAAAAGCCTTCTTTGATTGTTGAACATCGGGAGGCCAACACAACTGTTGGAGGCACAGCAATTTTAGAGTTGCAATGTAAAGGTTTTCCAAAGCCAGGAGTTCAATGGAAACATGACGGCGAAGTTATTGAAGTAGGCGAAAAACATAAAATTCTATATGCTGATGAGGAAAGCATATCTTTGGTTATTAAAAATATTACAACTGAAGACGCAGGCGAATATACCGTACATGCTATGAATGAATTGGGTGAGGATGAGTCATCTATCAACCTCGTTGTAAAAGGTATGTATGACGTCTATACACATATCCATGTGTGCAAAATGTAACTACAAATACAAATTTATATCTGACGTACTATGCCCACAAAACCTTTTTTTATACATTTTTTATTATTATTAGTTACTTAAATAAACATAAGGAATTTATTCGGTCATGGTATTTAAACTTACGGAAGGGGGCTGCTTGATAAAATATTCCGATTTTATTGATTTTCGGTTCCAATGTTTATTTGTAGGTACGGAATAATGTGTAATAAAAAAATCTCAAATCTGCCAGTTCCTACAAACGGTCGTTTAAACGTACCAGTGCATCTGTGCAAAAAGTATGGTTGAAATATGTCAAAAACTGAGGGACTAGTTTGCCCACTGGTATGAGAAGATATATATATATATATATATTATATATATATATATATATATATTTTAAAGAAAAAATTACTTTTTTTGATAATATAATATATCAAGTCTTGTATATATGACGAAGTTGGTTCCGTGACGTCTTCGGTTCTCGTAACCTGGTATTCTATTAACCTTGACTGACTTTAAATATATCAGTTTTTGCTTGACACTCGCTTTGGTTTAATCCCTTGCAAGAGTGATATGCTCAGCTTATGCTATATAATGATAAATATATATATATATATATATATATCTTATGCTAATAAAATATTTATGAGAAAAATTTTCTTATACAAAAAGAAAACAAATTTTTTTTTTTTGGTCACAGACTTGGCGATTTTTTACACGTGGAAGGTGCAAGACTCTTACACAAAAGTATACTGCGGTGGCGTTAATACCTAAGTACCAGCAAAAAAATAAAATAATTTCTCCTGATGTTTCTAATATTTAACTATTCGATTTTTTTAATCTCAAAATTTCAAGCTTAAAAACTTATATCAAAAAATTCATAAAATGATCAATGAATCTCTCTTATATTAAATCTCTTTTTATATTAAATACTTTATAATAATGCGCGCTCGCTCGGAATTTTGATTATTTTTAATGTTATTGACCATGACTCATACCATTCGTATTACATGATATTAAAAAAGTTGCTAGGGATGTTAAAACATACTATACATTTTTAAAATTTACAATTTTTTTTGGAAATTAAAATTCATTTGCTCGACATAAAACTATTCAGAACATTTTAATTGTGATTATTATTGATTCTAAAAAAGTTAATCCAAGGCCTTAGAAATGTCAAAATGATAAGTTGTTTAAACATAGGATTTCGCTCTTGTCGTAACCTTGAAAGTCAGTATTCTGAAGAAAATATAAAAAACCTGTTATCTGTCAAAGTAACGACCACACAAAATTATTTGTCGCTTCATTGTTCTCACCCATGTTGGTAAGGAACGCGACAAATTTGCAGGCTTTATAAAATATTTGCTTACAGAAATATTTAGTTCATAAAGTCTTCTTAATAGATGTGTATTTATTTATTTACAGCCGCACCGAAAATCAAGCAAGTTCGGGATATTTCTTGTTTTGCTGGTGAAACAATTAAAATAGAAATGGAAGTCGAGGGCTTTCCAAAACCTTCATTTAATATAACCAATAACGGAAAAGATATTACCAATGAGAAAAACGTCAAAGTAACGAGCCGTTTAATAGCAAAAAGCACTGAAGAAATTATATTAGAAATTTCTAATATTGAGCTAAGTCAAAGTGGAAACTATTCACTTCGAGCTATCAATGATTTAAGTCAATCATCTGAGTATTGGGAGTGTGTTGTCAAATCTAAGCCAGTAATTGTAAAACATTTAGAAGAGGAATATGTATATGGAGAAAAAGAAACCGTTATAATGAGTGTTAAAATAGATGCATTTCCAGAAGCTAAAGTTCGTTGGTATCAGGATGGCAAAGAGATTGATGTTTCTAATAATCATAAATATAGCATGTCCGTCGACGGGAATGAGTACGTACTAAAAATAAAGGAAGTATCTCGGGTCGATTCAGCAGTTTATACAGTCCGGGCTGAGAATGAATATGGTTCGGCATCAAGTGAAACCAAATTGTTAATAAAGTGTACCCCAGAACTTACAAAGAAGTTGTCAAATATTACCATTACCGAAGGTGACTGCAATGTGGAGTTGGAAGTTCGAGTTAACGCCTATCCAGAGCCAAAAATCACGTGGTACATCGATGGCATCGAAATCGACGAGAAAAGGAAAGATTTTCGCCGTATCGAGGAAAATAATTCACATAAATTGGTTCTCAAAGAAGTCAATACGTCAATGCATGGCACATATTGCTGCAAAATCATGAATGATTACGGAAGACTTGAAAACGAATGCATTGTAACTGTAAACTGTATCTGATTTAATAATCAATAACTAAACGTCATTTTAAAACACATAATTTTTTTAATTTCTAGGCAAACCAAAAATTAGGAAGCCCTTAAAAGACACAGAAGTCCAGGCAAATGGAACCCTTACCTTAGAAACTGACATATATGCGGTACCTGAACCTACTGTGAAGTGGTGAGTCCATTTCCAATTAACATATTTATGTTACGGCTTTTTAACATAATATATTTTAACATAATATAGTAGTTAATTCCTAATGTTCCTTGTTTGCTGTATTAAGTTTTAAGGCGAAAAAAAGAGTAAATTATTACAAGATATCTTTTACTGAGTATATTATTTTTATTTATTTCAATAACAATAGGTACAAAGATGGAAAGGAAATTAATGCTGATGCCAGGGTAAAAATTTCCCGAGACTCATATCGCACGGAGGACTATTCTTTATCGCTTACAATTTGTCAACCAAAAGATGCTGGAACTTATGAAGTTAGGGCATTGAATAGCATTGGTGAAAGTCAATCTCAATGCAAGGTGCTTATTCTAAGTAAGTATAAATCTAATGTCGCTCAAAATAACTAAGAATTGAGCAGAAGCCATACGCTTACTTCCAAAAATCACCTACATATTATACCACATTCCCTACCAGATGAACTACACACAAAAGAGGAAGTCGACGGAGAGAAAGCACAAAACATGGAAAACGGGGGTAACCATAATACATTTACAAATATTCTTCATACTAATACACTCAAGTTTTCTATATGCGTTGCTTTATAGATAAGTAGATTCGCCAGAGAAAATTTTATACATACATATATGTATATCATATATACAGTCTATTTTTCCAAATCATATTGGGGAAATGCAAAAGAAAATAAGACAAATATTTTTTCGTACTGGCTGCTTAAAATATTAGTGTACGTAACCTTGCCCATGTCTAGTTGCACCAAATATTTACTTATGCACATTTCGCGCTACTTTACATAACTTCTTCCTTATACATACTAATATATTGGTCAATTAGCAAGTCATCCAATATTTTACAATAAATTACCTTAGCGGTATGTGCCTCACATTTGATGAGTGCGATTTGATGACCATAGACGTTGTTATCCACTTCATAGTCCGGGCCTCGCTCCAAGTAATTACCATCTATTTCTATGGCAAATGATTCGGCTGGTGCAGAATCAGCTTAAAGAGAAGTCTGTGAAAATCGAAAGTCTCAATTTTTTTTACCGATAAGGGCAAGGGTTCCTATGGCATTACCTTCAAAATGGCAAAATGTTGTGGAGCAAAATATTCCACATAAATCGGATGATTCTAAGTATTTCCTTCAAAGTAATGCAAAAATAATGTATGGCTTGACATTTGACCTAATATACTAAATCCTAATTACGCTTCGCTTACAAACATATTTATCAAACCTGCCAAAGTGACGAAATGCAATTCACAGTTTGAGGGACGTTGCTGATGATACAACATATTGTTTTCGTTTGCGTTTATCTAGATTTATTAGGATAAATCATGATTGAGATGTTTTTTTAACCTAATAAAAGGTTCAACGAAAAATTATTCAAATTTTAAAAATTTTACATTGTTTTTTTTTTGTAGTTAAGATGTTTTGTAAGGACAACCCTTTTAAACGTAAAGTTTAGTTAAATATGAGATATTTGAATATATTAAATTTCTTTTAAATATTAATTTATGTTGACATAAATTTAAAAAAAAATTAGGTTTACTTAAAATATAATATCGTAGGAAAAAATTCCAAAAAAACATTGAATGTTTATTTATTTTATTTATATCAAATATAGCTTACAATATAAATCTTTTTTGCTAAAGCTATTTGTTCGGGAGCTATAGCTACTAGGACTTAAGCTCAATACTTATTTACATATTTACATTTTTAAGTTTAGATTCCTTTTGCTTAAATCTTATGAAAAATATTTGTTCTTTTGAGAAAGTTCGTTATTAAAAGGATGGATTCGGCTGAGGGAAGTGAGAGGTAAGAAGTTGGACTTGTGTTAATAAAAATTCGTTCTCTATGGATGGCATACAGCGGGCAGTTAAGTAGATTGGTTAACTGTAACTATGATGTTTTTGCTTCAAGTACAGTACATAGGGGTTGAGTTGTTCATAAGATGCCCATGTGTTAGTTTGGTGTGTCCTAGTCTAAGGCGCTCGAGTTTTATAACGTGGATAAAATGGAAAGATCGCAATGAGCCAAACCAGAATATAAGATGAACTGAATTTTGATTTAAGTCGACTTGTATAACATACATATATTCCCAATCGTCTCTACTGCATCTGAAAACACAAACAAAGCGTGCTTTTAGAAACTTGCATTAATGTAGAAGAATCACAATCTTAGATGGATTCAATCCGAATCAATCTTTGTAAATGTTTTGTGCAATTTCAAAAAGATTTTTTTTATTAACGGTATGCTTATGTTTAAAAAAAAACTTCAAAAGGCCTTGTTGCTATTTGCTTTTTGTAGGCTAGGCTACTGGTTTTGAAAGGGATTTCCAATATGAGGTGTTATTTGAATAGCCTGGTATTCAGGTGAATGTTCCTTTTGAAGCTGTCATTTTTCCACATTTGAAAAGTAAAAACTACGCCAGTAATAAAAATTGAAACTATTAAAGATGAATCCATGCCATTGCATTACGCTGCCATCAGTTTTTACCTCGAAAAAAGAAGCGGTTTTCTGAAACATTTGGATAAAATGTATGAACTGCAGTCATATACTTGGTGTATAGTAGTTACAATTAATAGATGTTGAACCAGAACTTTCACCGTCGGCTACATGCAGTGCTCTGATACATTGCTCACCTCCGATGCACATTAAGCGCCTAATCATAGTTGCGTAATTAGTTTCATATGCCAAAACGGTTAGTCTGAGTTTACATGAGGTTAAATTTTGTCGCTTGTATCGTAATTTGAAATATTAATAGCTGGATACATATACGCATAGGTCATATATGTTTGAATATAAATATATATGTTTAAGGCAGATGCAATCTGTTCAAAGTTCTCTGCTAATGCTGCCGCTGCTGATTATGAAAAATAAAATAAAATGGAATGTCAAGATCTACAGAGATGAATAGAAACACAAAACGTGTTGTACGAACACAGCGACACGGTGCGCTGTTCCCTTCGTCGTCGCCCTCCTCCCTACAAATGTGTATTTCGTCGACAGAAAGTATCCCCGTCTAAACTCAGACTTACTCGACTAATGGAGTTTTGCACACTTGTCCATCATGTAAGCGCCTAATCAAAATCATTAATTACCATCAAGCCTGCTCGCAATTGCGTTTTAAGTAATTTTTTTGCTAATAAATAAAAATATTTAGAAGTTAAATACATTTTTAAGATTTCGATAATGTCTTTTCGTGAGTAGCCTTGAATTGTGTTGTTGTATAAACACGGATAATTTTCAAATTTTTAAACAAATTTCGCCATCAATCAATATTGGTTATTTAATCTTTTATTTAATGATTATGAAAAATCTTCCACAATACGTATTTTAAAAGGGTAAAAAAAATCACGCGAGCAAAACGCCTAGCGCCAAGCAGCGTTGAGCGCTTCGATGCATTCAGCTTGAATCAAGAGGCGAAAAAATTGCTTTGAAGTATAATGTGTAGAGGTGTATTGAAATACACGTGTTCGACACAGAAGCGCCTCGTTTTGGTATGCCGAAACGTTCACTCAGCTGTGGTTAGGTGCTTAATGTACATAGTGCCTAAATGTTTCAAAAATGAATCTGAGAATGCTTGATAATTAATATTTTTTTCGAAATGTAGAACTATGGAGATATTTGGAGTAAAATAAAAATATACTGTCACTTTTTATTTTATGAATATTATCTTAAAATCCCAAAAGAAAGTACCGCGATTTCTCTTCATTATTGGTTTTTAAAATGGATTTTAATTTTGAATATGGCCTCAGCACACTTTACACTTACAGCGGGTACCAAAGAATTTTAAGATAAAAATAACTTGCAGTTTTCACATTTTTTCGTACTTTTTATATATCGCTTATAACAAAATGCTTCCTCAACCAAAATAAACTAATTTTTACATTATTCTGTCGCCAAGTATCATTTGACAAAATGATAAGATGATTTTCTATTTGGAAATTCATTTGACAAATCATCTTATTTGTTTGGTTTGAATTAATCCTAAAAAGCAAAAGGCTAAATTTAAAACAATTGATTGAAAACCCCTTTATTAATAAGCAGGCATCAGTTTTGGTTAACTTTATGTTCTCATTGTTGCGAAGAAAGCATTTAACATGATTTTTCCAGAAAAATTTTCTTTTTCAGACAAATAAAAAAATTATGTATATTTTCATAAAAGCATTTTAAAAAATATGTTTTTACAAAATGGGCTACATACTTTCCATTTGCCAAAATACTGCATTAGTATAAGCTAATCACGAAAATATCTTAAATCACTTTATTGCATAATGGACGAATATATTCTAGAACAAGTGCGTAATTTTGTTGACTATTATAATACCACTGTGTCGTAAGGTAAAGGCGTCCTTGCTTTTACAAAGCGATGATCTAAAACGATGTAAAAAGAATTACGTCATTAGAGCGACCAATGTTGTACGGTTCAGAGGTGTGGAGTCAGAATTTACATTATTCTGATAAATTTGAGTCCGTTCAGTTTTTGTTGTTTGGATTTGAACTGATTTGCGGTTGATTTCTTGGTGAAGTAAATTTTAATGTCCCCTTTTGATAATTTCAACAATTTAGACTTTTATTTTGAAAATCAATTGTAGTAAAATAAATATTGAGCTATTGTACAATATATGAACCATTTCGACGCATATTTCAAGATTTTAATTGATATTTCCGCACATTTTATTTGGCAAACTCACTTTTCGTGACGAAAAATATACTAACTTCTCTAAATATGTAACCATGGTAATGTTTAAAAAACAGAAATATGATAAAACAATATTTGCCCATTGAATCCGATGTAATATACCAGCGACCACACAATTTAATATTAATTTTTTAAATAAAATTTATTTCATAACTACCCAAAATTTCAGTTTCTTACAGAATTGTATTTTAAAATTTGTATCATATTCACAAAGGTACCATAATAGATCATTTAAATAGGATATATTCGCTTCTTATGTACATGGATTCTAACCCTTATTAGACCAATATCAAAAATAATTGAAAAAATTATAAAAAATGTTAATTTAATTTAATTTAAAAAGTTAAAAGCTCCTCATAAAAATTAACCGGTCTCTCATATCTGGGAAATTTATTAGAGGAGTATACATCTTATTTTGTAGAATACCACAATTATTACTCATATCATGCTTTTTCACGGTTTTTTAATCAAATTCCCATATCTGAACAAATCGGTAGTTTGGAGACTACATGATATCTTTCGATTTCGATGGGTGCAACTCATCGTATATATGCAGAATAACAAATTTCACACTCTTGTAGGTTTATTTTGACAAATTTGTGCCCTCTAATTATCACCCCATCACTTAGTCCATCAGGATTCCTAACATATATTAGTTCTTCCAATGTGATTTTGCTGCTGCCTATACTTACATGTATACACGTATGAATGAAGATTAATACCAAACATACGTATGAACCACGAATTGCGGAAAGGAGTTTGCATATGTAACCAATAAATTTAGTATAAAAAAATATTTCCTTGGTAAATTATACATTCCTAGTACGTTCACGTGAAAAATAAATAGAAAGAGCTGCTCATTAATGCATCGTATATCTATGTTGTATGCATACAATTTCTACCGGCAGTATACATATATTTTATGAAAACTTAAAGATTTTAAATATTTATAACAAAGTGATTAGAATTATTGTACTTTGTTACAAGTTAAAGTTGTAGGTTAGTTTTAAGAGAGAAAATTCCCGAAGTCAAGGTTTTACCTAATTTAAGAGGTAATTACAAGCTGTTCGATTTCACTAAGTAACTTAATTGCTTCAACAAATACAATTTTACAATAACAGCATAAAAGAAAGTTTAACACATTCTGGCCTAGTTAAAATAACAAAATGGCTTAAGCAAATAAATAACTAGGCATGTGCTAATTAAACAAATATTTAATATATTTGGAATTTATTGAAGACTAATAATAATCCATAATTAGTTGTTACTTGATTCTAACACTTTGCCATAAAATATGATATTTATTATCCACAAATAGGGCAAAGAGAACTATTTCCACGGTAAAAGTTTTGCAATAATTGTTGTTGTCGCTTAATTGTGTGTGGGGGTTCATTACATACATCTGCTAATTATTTTGTTTTCTTTTTCTATACCAATACCGTCGAAAAATAATTTTATTTAAATTTAATTTAGCGATTCCTGAAATCCAACACGCGGATATTTTGGAAAAACATAGCTTTGAATCTGTGCCATTAAAATATGAAGTCATTGCAAAGGGAATTCCCAAGCCCGAAGCTGTGTGGTATCACGATGGCAAACCATTACAAGCGGATCAACATGTTTCCACAATTGTTGACGGAGTAAGTGTTCATATCTAAATATTAAAATACGAAATAAATAAATTAATTAAATCATTATAGGATAAGTACCGACTAGAAATAAAAGAACTTCAACTCGCAGACGCTGGTGAATATAAAGTGGTAATTAAGAATAAATGTGGCGAAAAATCATTACAGGGTGTGCTTTCCCTATCTGGTAAATTAAAAAAAAAATAAAATGAAACGAATCCGTGGTATTTAACAAAGTAAATAAAAACTTCTCAGGTGTTGCCGAATATCGAAAACCTATTCTTAAAAGTGGATTGCATGACATTACAACTAATAAAGGAAACTCGTTGGCAATTCCCATTGTATTTACAGCGGATCCTCAACCAAAAATTACGTGGCTGAAAGATGGAAAGCCTCTGAAAGAACAAGATAATATAAAAATAAACGAAACTGTTAAGGATATAGAAAATGGACTGAAAGAGTACACTTATGCTCTGAATTTTGATGAAAGTAAGTTAAATTAGTAATTGTCTTTTCAAACGGTAACTTTTACTGACACAACTACCAACTTGTAGGGGAGGGGGTTATCAAAGAAGTTAACCTAATATATCACTGAAGAAATCCTATGAGTGGATTTAAAGGAAAAATGAAAAGAACTAATGGTTTTAGATGATGAACGTAAACTGTAGCACATAACTACTGCTCAAAGCGATATCGTGCACTTTTTACTTAAAAACTAAATACCGAGAGTCTTTTCGATCACTAACAATAAGAATTATTTACGAGAAAACGGAAGCAAAAATAAACCGTATACATTTAATTTAATTTACTCGACTAATGATTAACTGATAAACATTGTGTTACCCAAGCCAATTTTGTGCCCGCACCAGCCAAAAATATTGCTGAAACAGCCCATCTTATGAGAGCCATGAAAATGAAAAGTATCCACCGCTTGGGGCTGCGGTTATTGACAGTTGCAACTTAGAAACAAAAAACGCTCCCACAGTTCCCTTATTCCGAGTTGCTAATGCGTTCTCTCAGAGAGCAGGAGTTCAAGTCGAGTAGAAAACCGCTATCTATCCGAGTGTATTTATAAGACGAAATTCAAAACTCTTCATAGAAAAACTGTAGGTATAGGTAGACGATGCCGGCAGAAAATCGGTTCAGCGCTCACAAAGCATTAATTATAAATATATAAAAACAGACGCACGGTAGTACATTCGTAAAGTAAGCTCATAACAGTGCCTTTTTATTCTAAAAAACGTTTTTTTGGTAGCAATCGATCAATAAATGATTCTGCCAAAGAAACAACAGTTTTGACATTTTGAAACATACAACCGCTTTGAGAACATTTTGCAAGGACGATGCTGGTTTTCGATTCGGTGCCGTATAGATCTTGGAGACCAAATACATATATTAATACTTACCGACTCTGTTTCAATTAGAGCCTATGCGTCCACTTGTTTTTATTGTTGTTTGGCAAGGCTGGACATTGGCAGAGGGTGTGTTTTACAAGCTTTTACTATTCTTCGACTGTATAGGTGCGACAAAAATCATTCCAGTAGTAACCTATTTTTCCCCGTGAAGCCCCATTAAACATATGTCCAGAAGGATAAGAGGCATTGGACTTTTTGCGCCCAATTCTGGCCATAGCTGTCTGGTCACATTACGTGCGATCTCTTTCAGACATTTTTCTTGTTTTTGTTTTTGTTGCTATCTTGTTTGCGATCAGTCTCTGTAATCATTGTATTTATTGTAGTTAAAAGGTATCAGAGTCCACTTTTGTTGTGGTATTGTTGCACTGGACATAGAGATTGCGAAGCAAATAGTGAAGGTAGTGTAATGCAACTCCTTTTGCACTTTTACGAGAGATAATATTTTGACGTATCCTCTACTGTAGTTTCTACAAGATTTAGTTGCATTGAATATGATTGAGTTGTAACTCGCTTTTAATTCTCCACGTAGGACCTTAGAAAGGATATTGAATATGGTTTTCAGTGCTGATGGTAGGGCTCCTTATATTGCATATTATTATATATTATATATTGGTATATAGCAGTTATGGTCTTCCCCGATTTTTCTGCCGTGTTGCGGCTCCATTTGAGATTGAAACCTAAGATTATCACGAGATATTTGATTTCGTAAAGAGAGTGATCCCAACGATGTTGGGCCAATGTGGTCACAACATGTGCTGTCTAGTTTTCAAACCCGCGTGTTTACATCACCTTATATATGGGGATTAAACTACTTCTAATGGCGTGCGTTTTGTTGTGAGTCTGGTAATACTGTCCGTCTCGGCGAAAATGATTTTGTTTCCTAAGAGCTTCAATAACAATCTGAGGAAGAGTAATGTTAAAATGTAGTGATCTTGTATTACTATTTTTATTTGTATATGAAATGCATTTAATCCGAAAACATGTTTAATATGACCCTTTTGTTATTACGATAATTAGGGGTTGCCCACTATAATTATGGCGATGTTGGTTCAATGAGGTCAAACTTCTGTTGTTAGTTTAGCTCTTCAATTTGTATCTTTGTCAATACCCAACTCATATGAGCATACACAACTGGTGTCGCATCCATTAGCAGTCATGAAAAATATTGTTTTAGCGATAATGCCAAAAGGACTTGTCGGGTATTCAAACTCTACAGCAATACAGCGTTATTAGTAAAAATCTGCTATACTTTTTTTGAAATTAAATATAAAAATACGTTACTGTGGGAAAATAATCTGAACATAAAGTATTAAATTTATTTATAAAAGTTGTTATATTATGTATATCGTAGGTCAGCACAAAGATTCTGGGCGCTATGAGTTAGTGATACAAAATAAATATGGTGAAATAAGTACTAGTGGATGGATTGATGTGTTATCGAAGCCTGAAATAATTGGTTTGAAAGATCAAACTAGTCTTCCGAGTAGTACAATCGCTTTCGATGCCATTGTACTTGCAAATCCGAAGCCCAAAGTAACGTGGACGCGAGGGAATGAAAATCTTTGTAACAATGAAAACTGTGAAGTTATTGCCGATCCAGATGACGACAAATATAGACTAGTTTTTCAGTGTGTTAAACCTGGTGAGGATGGATTATATACACTGACTGCTGTCAATGACCAAGGAACTACTACAGCAAGTTTTCGTCTCAATGTAAAAGGTGAGCACTTTGAAATTGTAATTAAACAGGATAAAAAAAAATTGATTTCCTGCGCGATTGTAATTGATTTGCCTGAAACTCGGTGCATGATTAAATTTCGTGCAAAACTGACAGAAATCGACCCGAAATATTTAATATAATATTTTTCCAGAAGTTTTGAATGGGACATTCATTTCTGAGGAAGGTGTTAATATCATGTACCCTATAAATAAGTGATAATTTGGTTAATCAATTGCTGAAAACTCGACATCAGTGTAAAGCTTTAGGTAACGTACTTGTTACATTAAATTCAACAATTTTCATGCAAATTATCTTTATAAAAAACTTTAATAATTTATTTTCCAAAATTTTGGATATTGGGCGGCTCAAGACACGAACGTCGAATCTTCCGCATGGTTAAACACTGTTAAGCATTCGGCTATTGCGGCCGCCATTTGATATGCTATCTACCAAATTTTCGATTAGCCCTTTTGAAAGGAGCAAATATCGTGCGTAAAGACCACTCTTTTCTTTTTTTTTTTGAGGAATTTTCTTGAACCGAAAAAGAAATTGTTTTCCACCAAGATGCTTATATACGACATACAGCTAAATTGAAGTTTACCGCAAAATCAATTCTCAATTTTATGCCGTTAATATTCCGATTAAACCTTTCACTCGAAATTTTCAAGAAAGAAATCTAAATGTGTGTCCAAAAAATTATTTTCGAGTTCTCTAATGATTTGATGTCAGCTGTTGTATTCCCAAGGACATTATGCCACACTTCCACAACAGGTGTCAGAAAAATTTTGTCACCTGATAATAATTGATTTTGATGTATTAACTCCAAGGGCCTTTTTTTTATATTTATTGGCCCTATTCAGAAAAAATACATAAACTCCAAATAAAGTATGCAAAACTTACGAAAATGTTTAATATAGGTTAAAAACAATTAAAAGACAAGTTTCCACTTAACGTTTTTTTAAATAATGAAAACAATAACCAGTTTATAGCATAATCTATTTACAGTGATATCAAATTTTCATAAGTCGGTTAAGTCCTAAGTTGTCATACCTATAACTTTCCGAAAAATATTTTTAAAAATATTTCTGATTGATTTCTGTCACTTTTAGCATAAACTAATCCATACATATAACGGTTTTCAGCCCAATCGAAAGCTATTGGCAAAAGCATGCCTTGTTTAATATGCTGTATTACAAAGTTTTTGGTTTATTTGAAAATTAATAATTTTATATATTCTTAGTTGAAAAGCCAACATTCATTAAATTACCAGATGATCAATCAATACAGGACTATTGTCCGGCTTTGGTTGATGTACTGGCACATGGTATCCCAAAACCAACAATTGAATGGAAGAAAGGAGATAAAAGCTTAGCAGATGGATCAGATAATATTAACAAAAAAGAATCTGATTATAATATACGATATTCTTCTCCGGACTCCGATCAACTAAGCAGCCAATTAGAAATTCCACATTTCAAGCCAACCGATTCGGGACAAGTATGCATATATCATATTATACAAATGTACCTATTTGCCTCATAATATTAATTTTAAATGAACTTTCAGTACTCTGTTGTTGCTAAAAACGAAATTGGCTCTACCGAGGTCAAGTTCAATCTTGCTCTCTTAGAATTAGCTCCTAAATTCGACTCTAAGTTTGACAACGCTAAAGAAGTAAGCCAAGGAGAAGATCTGATTTTGCAGTGTAAAGTAATTGGCAGTCCACTTCCACTGATTCGTTGGACCAAGGACGGCGAAGAATTAAAGCCAACTGAAAAGTAAGCTTTTAGCTTTGTATAGTAACTGTGATAAAAAATAACTAAGTATTCATTAAACTCACTGATAAGCCTAGAATTGGAATTCCAGTTAGAAGGATACGATCATCGTAACACTGAACCCGTCAAATATGTAGTCCGATTCAGCCTCTAGGGATTTTATACTAGTGCCATAATGACGACGCATCGTAGTAATATAAAAAAATGGCACCTGTCATAGTTTGATAAAAACGGTTTCTGTTACGATTTTCAAGCCTTTCTCACGCGGTAATGCGAAACCGATATAAATCCAGCATTTACCTATTTAAATTCACATCATAAACAAATTTTTAAAATACACGGTATTAACGTCTTTCATAACACAAATATGACCGCACAGTCCCTCTCCCTTGCCTTCTCTTGTAGGTCAAAATTATGTAGAAACTAGAAAATCACTATCCTGAAGAAGCGGTTGGGGGAAAAATGTTGAGCGCATTCAGGTTGATCACTAGGATCATTGAAAATAATTGCGGTTTTTACCCAATGTTATAGGAGGCAGAAATCTGATTTGGACCACATGCATAGCTTGTAACGTGCACTATTAAGATGCTTGAGAAATGTACAAACAAAACCATAAAATGGGGAGCGTATTTTGATGCAAATTAACAATATACTTTAATCAAAATTTTTTTTTAATATATTAACCATCTGACCTGAAAAGATTTTTTGACCTTTGTTTTATTTATGTGCTACCAATTCCATTTTTAAAAAATAAATTTTTCAACTTTCGAAGATTAAACAAGTATATTACTAAAAAATTCAAGACGTTTCAATGTACGAGGTGTGTTCAAAAATGTCGCGAATTTTGTGTTTTTTCAAACACTATTTATTTATTCATGAATGTCTATTTTGTCCCCTTCAAAGTAATCCCCATGAGATATTATACCCTTGTGCCAACGGTTTTTCCAATCTTCGAAGCACTTCAAAAAATCAGCAGGGGCGTTATCGTGGTGCACAAATCCGGGCGTTTCTGGTGGATTCCTTCGCGCAAATTGCATATGACTTGCAGGTAATATTCCTTATTGACCGTTCTGCCCTGTGGCAAGAACTCATGATGCACCACGCCCCTGCCACTAATTTTTTCACACAAAATTTGATACAGGTTCTTTGATCCATTTTTTTGAATAGGTAAAAATCGAAGACCATCCAAAACACGTGCAAGAAAAGCAGCTGTCAACAATGAAGTGAACATAAGTACCAACATAACGCCACAACAAAATCGAAATTCAAATATACGTAATCCGCGAAAATTCAAAATTCGCGATACTCTTTGAACACAAATAATTAAAGAAAAATAACACGTACTCGCAAAAAACTCAAACGCTTTGCATTTTATTTTTTGAAATCTAATGGAAATAAATTTATTTTCATGTGGCTTGGCATTTATTTATAAAAAAATATATGAACTATTTTTACAGCTTCAATATCTTGAAGTTTAAATGAAAATTAGACATATTGTCAAAAAATCTTTTACTATCAGTTTTATACGTGTATTAACAGGCCTATTCCGTCGAGGTAACAAAATTTACTTTGGTATAAAAATTTAGCTTTCAGTAAATTTTGTTACCATTTCGTAGTCTAAGTTCACTGTTACCCTGTAAATTTTGTTGCCAGCCAAATAGGAGGTAGCAAAAATTACTGCTGTTTGATTTTGTGTTGTTAATTTCAAAAAAAAATAAAAACCAAAATGAAGATGAAGAAAAAAGTACAAAAAGCAGTATTTTAAGAAGTTTCCGAGACTAAAAAATAGCCCTTTAATTGTAAGATAACGTTTTCATTCCGCTTTTTTTGTTGTCCCGGCATATTTTCCATAATTAGGTCCAAATATTTATGATTTAATAAAAAAATTAATAAAACTTTTTAATTTTTTTGTGCACTGTCTGTGTGAGTATTTTTCTTTTTACTTTATCAATTGATATGGACGAAAAAAAGCAGTGCTGCCAAATATTTTTCAAACATTGTAACCAGTTCGCCAGAATACCGAATTCAATTTCGGGTGTTAAAGAAAAGTAACAAAATTTACTTTACCGGTAACAGTGAGAATAGCCCTGTAAGTGATGAAATAATAAGCAGAGGAAGTAAGTTGAGTAGAAACAGACTTTGGCACTGCCTTAGCTCAACTTTATATTTTCGAAATTTAAGAAAAAGGGGAGGAATTAGACAAATATTAAAACATTTGGAAAATATACCAAATTAAATTACCCTTTTAAGCAGAAAAAAACATCCTTTCTCACTTTCTTCTAATAAATTTTTGAAATGTAAAACTTTTCATATTTAAAAACAGAAGCTTTGAATATGTCAACTAACACACACACACATATATATATATATATATATATTATATGTATATATATATATAAATGGCTACCACAGATATTAGCCTAATATGTACTTGAAACGTATGTATGCTACGAATCATACCAATATTAAATAAAACACAGTTTGGTCTACACGTCATCAGGGATAGGTGGGAATACATTTTTCTGTAGCAGAAGCGTTGTTATTCAATAAAAATACTTTACCAGCTATTTTCTCTTGTATCGGTGTACGGTTATCTATTTTATGTAAAATTTAGAAAAGTTTTAACAGTTACCAACCCAAATTAAAGTTTTTTTTTTTTAAATTCCAAGTGATTTCATATATGTATGTATATTATAAAAAGCCTACGAGATAATATGGACGAATTTTGTAATTAAAAAAATATATATATATAATTTTCATAAGGTAAGGTAAGGTCGAGGTAGCAAAATTTACTTTGGGATTCAAATTTACCATTCAGTACATTTTGTTACTATTTCGTATTCTGAGCTCACTGTTACCCTGTAAATTTTGTTACCAGCGAAATAGAGGTAACAAAAATATCTGCTGTTTGATTTTGTGTTGTAAGTTTGAGAAAAAAACCCCAAAAAGTGTAAAAGGCGTATGCTAAGAAGTTTGCGAGAAACAAATGACCCTTTTATTTAGAAGATAGATAGAAGATTCAGCTTTTTTCTATCGCTTAGGCATATTTTTCAAAATTAGGTTTAATGTTTTTTTGATTTAATAAACACTTAAATAAAACTTATTTAATTTGTTGTTCACTGTCTTCCATTACGGTGTGTATAATATTCTTTATCCCCTTTACCAACTGGCAAATATTTATAATTTGGCAAGGAGAAAAAAGCAGTGCCGCCAAAGTTTTTTCAAATTTTGTAACCACTATGTCAGAATACTCAGTTTAATTTCGGGTGTTATAAAAAAGTAAAAAAATTTACTTTACCGATAACAGTGAGATTAGGCCTCTAAATAGTAATTTTTGGTAGAAGTAATTAGTAACTTTATTGTTGTTTTAAATTTACAGATTGAACTTAATTTTTCAAATTTCATATTTCGTAATGCATCTCAATGAACAACAATGAACATCAACAGAATGTGGTTGAACTAACATTGAAATACCTAAAGTATACCAGTTCTTTACAGTGATCAAAAACTTTAAGTTCTTCCTTTTTTTAAGATTTGTTTTAAAACTTAGGAACTAAAATTTATAAAAGCAGCATCTTTTGCTAAGGCAGCGTGTGGGAAAAAGGATAATTGTTTACTTACTTCACCTGTACATTATTTCATCATGGAGTGAAACTATTAACTATGATAAGGGTTCCACTAAAGTGTCTTCTCCCAAACTTTGAAACTGTGGGACCTTTGTCTTTAATTTTTTTTTAGTGCTCCGCGGCCCTCTCTTTTCTACTTAGCGAAGGAGGCTTTCAGTTTTATTACCACACGATGAGGGTTCTCTAGCCTTGACGGAGGATTTCAAACTCGTTCCAAATGCTTAAACGTTCAAGCCTCTGTCCCTGAATCCCAACCTATTTCATCTTTAAGATATACTTAAACATGCGTCTTCAACGGCAATTTTGTTTTTCCCAAAAACAAAATTAGAAGGGCTAGGATTCTAAAATATGTAAACAAGAAACAGTAGTTGATGAATAAAATAATTTGTGTTTGGCTCATACATATAACAATTTTGTAACATTTAACTAAAAACTCTCACTTTATTAACTTCTGAATATCATGCTACTGTTTATTACGACATAAAAATGTAGACTTATACACAAACATGAAATACATTATCTTTCAATAAAATGTTATTCTACTTTCAGCATAAAGCACTCTTATTCAGACAGCGGCCTTTTGAAATTAGAAATCTCGAATATACAACCAATCGATTCTGGCGCTTATAAAGTAATAGTTTCTAACGCTTTAGGTGAAGTCTCAGCTTTATGTGCTGTTGCCGTAAAACGTACGTACACCAAGATATAACGTAATTATGAAAGTAACCTTAGAAAAGTAAGTTTAAATAAAGTAAGCTTGAATCTTCTTCAAAATTTAGGTTCATTTCTTTAATACGATACTCGAGTAATTTCTACAAAAAGAAAAAGAACTATCAAAGCACTAAAAATTAAAGATTTTTGTTAAGTAAACGTTATCAAAAAACTAATTTGCAAACTAGTTACACCGTAAAAATTTGTATTATCGATTACAGCTGAATCTCAACAGCCTGGTTTTGTCAAACCTCTAGAGGATATTAGAGTCTCTGTTGGTGAACCACTTAAACTTGAAGCGCGGGTTGTTGGGTTTCCTGCGCCTGAAATTCGCTGGACCAAAAACGGAGTTGCTTTGCGTCCAAGCAAGAATATAAATTTCATAAATAATCCCAATGGACTCATTGGCTTAAGGTAAGATTATTAATTGCATAGTTCGATTTGAATACATCTTTTTATAGGATATATGGATAACATTATAGCAAAGTATATTTTTTACTGTAGCATTGATGAAGTTCAACCTGAAGACGCTGGTATATATAAATGTTTAATAGTCAACAAAGAGGGTGAAGTAGAAGGAAGCTCTACTGTGACTGTATTACCAAAAGAAAAAGAACCAGAATTTATAACAGAGTTGCATGATACCAATTGCATTGAAGGTTTTCCTGCGAAACTACAAATAAAGGTCGTTGGCAATCCCAAGCCAGATGTTAAATGGTTCCATAATGGTGAAGAAATCCTTCCAACAAAAGGACAATACAGTTTCATTCAAAATGATGATAATACGAGCGGTATGCTTATTAATGAAGCCACTCTAAAAGATTCTGGCTTGTATGAAGTTGTCGCGACTAATCCAAAAGGTACAACCTCATCTAAAGCTAGATTACAAGTTGCTTTAAAAACAGACGAATCCATGCCAGAGGAACCACCTCAATTTTTGTCTTCAATAAGAGATGTAAATGCAAACGAAGGAGAAGAAGTTCAAATTACTGCAGCATTTTCTGGAAATCCAATTCCAGAAATTATTTGGACAAAAGATGGTAGTCCTCTCACTAATGGCGACCGCGTTTTAATAGAGTGTGATGGTAAACATGTCAGTTTAAACATAAATCCCGCTGAAGCTAGCGACTCGGGTACTTACAGTTGTCTTCTAGCAAATCCTCTCGGCGAAGATTCCTCATCTTGCGAGGCCAATGTTCGAAAAGTTTTCAAAAAGCCTTTGTTTACTCAGAAGATATGCGATCAACAGCATTTAATCAATACCGATGCAAAAATACCTGTTACCGTTTCCGGTGTACCATATCCAGAGTTATCGTGGTATTTCCAAGACAAACCCGTTACAGATGGTGATAAATATAATATAATAAACGACGGAGATCATCACGCATTAGTTGTTAAAAATTGCCAAATGAGCGATCATGGTGTCTATAAATGTATTGCGAAGAACAAAGAAGGTACCGATGTAACTCAAGGCAGAATGGATGTAGTTAATGAACTGTAAGTATTGTGTTTTAATTCAGAATAAAATGTTTACTTATCATTCAGAAATTTTTTATTAATTATATAATATATTTTTCACATCACATTTGATTTTTTTTATTAATCAACTTTTTAATGGAAAAATTTTGCTGATTACAATAAAAAAGTTAATATTTTTTCTGAAGACATATTTTGAACTCAAAGTGTTATAAATATTTTTGATGAAAAAAATAAGTAAAAATTAAAATCAAACCGTTATTTTGGTGTAAATCAGAGATGCTCAACACTTGCTTTTGTTAATATATAAACTAAACTTTCGTTTCGTCATTATTGAAAGCATTTTCTTTTGAGTAAAACCGAAATAAAATTAATTTTGATAACTGCTTTACCGAAATTTTTTAGATTGAAATTTATCGTTTCGATGCAATATCCCCGCATACTCGTACGTGTAGATAGGAAGATCGTGTGGAAGAGACATATAAATGCCAAAATATTACATATGAATTTAAGTAGCTAGCTAATCGGCTTTTACATAAGAAAGGCATGATATTCAACTGCGATCTGAACTGAGAATACGATAACGGACCGCAACACCTACAAAATGTTTAAGTTCATATTTATTTTATAAAAAAGAAGATCTTTATGCCATACTCTGTTGAACTTTTCAGCAACGGCAGGAAGACTCCACAGTAATACTTCTTGAGCTCAAATCCTTGGTTTTCCTATATTTTATAGCAAATGATTTTGTCCTTTTGAATCAAAATCTGATCTGAAAGAGTATTTGAGCACTCTTTTAAGGAAATCAAACTCTTATAATATACGAGTAAACGATAACATGTACTCGAATACGAACTGGGTTCAAAAATTTTGATTTATATATTAATATAATAACGTAACATTTAAATTTGAGTATTTGCAAAACACGTTCAACGCTTAGCAAGGTTGTTAAAACTCGACCTGAGATTACTAAGAAAATAGACTCACATAATTAAATGTATGTGCATTAGCTACAATCATTTATGTGAAGGCGACTCAATTTTCAGATCTTCACAAGTCTATAAAGGGAACGCTAAAATAAAAATTTTTTGTAGATGACTTTAAAATAGAAAATAGAAGTGAGGACCTGAAAACTGATAACCTAGCTAGTTCAAGTAATATTTCTCATGCCACAGCTTTTTTGTTTCTCCTACATATGAATGTAGAATTCTTGAAAAACATAATTTTTGAACTTATTGAACTTTAATGTAGTGATAAGTTTACTTTAAATGTTAAATAAAAAGAATTAATGTACATTCATACATTTAATTTTTTTCAAATTGTGAAGTTGAGCGTAATTTTAGGTCGATTTTCACTTAAAAAAACTTTGCCATTAGACTGCTTTTGTACATACTCCAAATTTACTGCTACTTTACCTATCTGAAATACCATATAGTATTCCGTGCTTAGTTGCAATGAATTTAATAAAAGTGTATTGAAAGACAGAGTCGATTGACCGGTCAATACATATATGTATAATCATGGTTTTGCTAAAGACTGTTAACCATACTTATAATATATCTACTATTTATCAATAAAGTATACACACATAGCTATTTTGAGCTTTTTTTTTGAATTCTAGGAAAAAACACATTCGATCTGAACCACCTGCATTCCTAAAGAAAATTGGTGACTGTGAAATATATCCTGGAATGACAGCAAAGTTTACTGCTTGCGCTACCGGGAGTCCAGATCCTGAAGCAGAATGGTTTAAAAATGATCAAAAACTCTTTCCAAGCGAAAAAATTTCTATTGATTACGAGACTAACGGGTTACTGCGACTTACTATTAAAGATGCGGATGAAGCGGATGTGGGCCGTTATTCATGCCATATATTTAATCCGTATGGTGATGAAACGTGTCACGCACATCTTGTTTACGACAGTAAGGACCATAATTACACATAATTGTATTATAAGAGTGTATTTTTTAATGACGCGGAATTATTCATTTTTTATAGATATTGATGATCACAACAGAAAACCTCTCTCGGAACAATATAATGATTTAAATAAATATAAAAGAACCGGTGTACCCACACCACTTACTGATAAACCTACAATATCGCGAATGACTGATAACTCGTTGAAATTGTCTTGGAAACCGTCAGTGTTAGCATCGCCTCGATATCCTGTGACATATCTGGTAATGTAACAATTCAATATTTTTGTATTTTTATCATCATACATTTCTTGAAGAAAAATAAATTAACGAAATTAGCGCACTTAATAGTTGTTGGTGAATAATGAATTAAATAATACCACAACAAATTACACTGCTGATGTTGGCGCAGTAGTAGAGCACTCGCATGTTAAATTAGGATCCGTTGGTTCGATCCCTGCCATATGATCTCCAAAACAGCTTTGACTTCACAAAAATATTCATTCATAGAAACAAATAGGCCTTCAGCTCACTAAAAACTTACAACTGTTGTTGATTTGTTGTTTATTTTTCAAATGAAATTTACGAACTTATTTTTCCATTTTTATTTGCTGTGGAAGCTCTAACTCAAGAATTTAAAAGATTTTTACGTTGCAAATGTTTAGTTAACGTGCCTTTGAGAAGGGACAAAAATCTTGTAGGAACGCTCACTTTCAATGCATTTCAAGAAGTGCCCCATAAAACCCGTAATTTAAGTCTGACAATGCCAGAGAGTAGACCCAAATACTATCAGGAGAATAAAAAATAAATTGCTGAAATTTTGTTGCACTATGTATATGAAATGTTTTTCTCTTAAATATTATATTATTAAATATTTCCCACAAAAATTGTCATTTCCGCCGACCAGGCCAAATTTAATGGTCATTACGAATTTTTTCATTTACAGATTTTTCTTCTTCTGTCATTGCGGAGAAAACAATAAATTTACACACAAATCACTATTTGAAATCCAAGTTTCAACCTTGCTCAAACCAAATTCATAAGTATAAGTATAAATATCCGAGTGGTGATTTGAATTTGAGCGAAAATGATATACACATTGTAGCTCTCTGGCATGCATGTATAGTAGCAAGACTGTACCCAATTCCTACTTCTATGTCCGCATTGTGTGGACTATACGTCATCACTGCCAAATCCACACAATCGTGGTATAAGTCTACTTAACGTCCCAAATAAAGTCCTATAAAGCGTGTTTTGTGAAAAATTTAAGATTTTCATAGCGCAACTCAAATAGGTAAAAGTGATAAAAATGCGTGCAACGCAAAAAAAACCGGGCAAAACAAGCTTTGGTGAGTTGATGTCCATACAAAAGCATCTTCATAAAAGACGAATGATTCCATTTCCCGAGTGGACCTTTTTGTAATCTTTTATTTACCATATATTAGTTTTTATGTCAATTTTTAACGAAAAAAATTAAACTCAAAAGCAAATGTATATTTCAAGATTATGAAAATATAAATTAGCGTTGTGAAGAGTTCAGATGTCGACATGGCAGAAGAGAAGCAAGAATCAATAATATTGCCGATAATTTTAATCCTTATTTAATAATTATAATCATACCCAACGATAACATATTTGCAGTCTAAAAACTAGAAAACCTCATTGTCGATATTTATGTGAATTTACGTATGGGGAATGGAAAATTGCACGCTCTTAGATTCTTTTATGGCAGATTTATAACCCGGAATTTGAAAATCTATTATCTTATTACAATAAGTAGCATCACTTTACTAGAATAAAAAGCATACAAAAGAAGATGGTAGTCGATAAGCTTCACTTTAAAAGGACAGATATTTCACTTTTATTTCTATAAAGCCTTTTCAAGAAGTACCTCCTTTATTGTAGAAGTGAGCCACATTTTAGTTAAAATAAAAAAGTCTTAACGTGTTTAAAGCTTTGAAATATATAGTATTTGGTAGGTGCAATATTTTATTGAGCAACACCTTCAGGATCGGGAAGGTCTTTAACAAATGAAGTTTCAGACAAGGTGATTCCTTATGGTGTGACTTCTCTAATTTATTGCTGAAGAAACTAATACAAAATACAGAAATTAATCCAACCATAATAATAAAATAAAATTATAAAAATATTTCAGGTAGAAATGATGGATTTGCCTAATGGAAATTGGCGTACCGTACACAAAGGTGTAAGAAACTGTGCCTGTGAAATTAAAAAGCTGGAACCATTTCGCGATTATCGTCTTCGAGTTCGAGTAGAAAATAAATATGGTGTTAGCGACCCTAGCCCATATGTACAAACATACAGGTAAGTTAACTGCATTATTCTCTTTGAATTTAAAAAACACAATGGATATATATATATAACTATTCCTATGGGACTATCAAATTGTGAAATGAAAACATTTAGATATGTATTTTGTATATTTATGAGTGCGACAAGAGAGAAAAATGATTATCCTACCTAAAAATGCTTAGCTCGCTTTCCAGTCTATACAACGGAAGTTTGTAGGCATATTATTGATCTCTCGAGCATTACCCTTGTCGGCGAGCTTTTCAAGCTCTTCATTCTCGCGTCTTTAGGCCTACTTATTTTTTTCTGCAAATGAGTCTGGTTCTCGGTATTTATCCCACCCAGCTCGTACTGTGCCTGTTTCTCTCCACTGCTGATCATAGTACCAGCTCTATTTCTTCGAAAAGAAAATCGTTTCTGGTCACTCCCAGGTGAATGGCAGTCAAACACTTTCATCACTTCCGAGAACTTCTACATATGGTCTTATCTCTTTCGAAATGCATGTAAATGCAGAAATTCAAACTGACCCTTTTCGGTTACTAATACTAGCACCGTTATGAATCTCCAGACAATCCTTTCAGCTGAGCTTTTTAATATGAGTATGCCATTCCCAGACCAATTTCATTTATTTATTCCAAGTCTTTGAAATTGGCTTAAGCATAAACTGAAACGTCTAACATGAAGTAACGCTCTTATCTTGGTTGGTTAAAAGCGGCCGCTCATACGCCATTTATAAGCTCTACTAAGCGTTTGGGAAAGATTCGATGCTGAAAGATGTGACATATCAACCGGCTGAAGGTCGGAAACTCGCAAGTGTTCCATCTTTTCGTCTGATTCCCCTTTACTTAGCCATGGAAATAATGTATCAGAGGTAGGTGTGCGGTTAATCCTTGTGGACCGCCTGATGTGATTTTATGAATGATTTTGGCATCTCCGTCTTCACATCCGTCCGCCTTTGGCTCAACATTTGGCTTAATTAGGTAAGTAAGTTTTGATGAAACCCCAAAGGGGCAATTAACGAGATCAATGAGGTAGTATTCACATAGTTAAAATCGCTCTCTACGTTAATAAATACCGCAATCGTATTCTCTCGTTTATATAAAAATATTTCAATTGTCCCGAAAATCAATGATGCTTTTTTAAATTTTCTCGATTTCTGATATGGAGCTCAACTCTTCGTGAGATGTGAGTATTTGGTGACCGTTTCCAAGGTGTTAAATATTTTTTTCTATCCCGACACAATGCTAGTACTACTACCTTCAATAGTTCAATTTAAAATTTCCCTTCTACGCCCATGTAAAAAAGTTTGAGAGCTACCTACGTTAATAGTGAGAAAGTCTTTAGAGTTAAAATAGGCGAGCAGAGCCCCTATCGTTAAAATCGGACTGCCGTAGGCTCCATACCTGTTTTCCGCATATTTGGCTACCTTCCCCATGGTAAAGTTATATATAAAGACACTAGAAGCAGCGTTCTAACGGATAATCTACTCACTTAGAATTAAAGGGGCATATTTACTTAAAACATCGATTTTATTTAAAACAAATGACCTCAACTAACGGCGTTGTGTTAACTGAAAAAAAAAATAATTCAAAGCGATGTTATCCATTTCGCTTGGATAAAAAATATTTATTTAAATTATAAAGGGTATGGTTTTTAGATGTTTAATGTTATGACCAAGAATTTACCTTTATTATATAGTTAAGGGATTACCATTACGTTTTTGAAATAATTTCGGTCAAAAGACCACCGCAGCTGGATCGGCTCAATTTTTAACCACTTTTATCCTCATTTAGGGCAAAAACGCGCCTAATATTTTCTTGCAAGGCGTAAATGACCCTGTCTTGTTAGAACTAAAAATCCTCCAATTCAATCATGAAAAGCCGTTAATCATGGCGCTGTAGAACCAAAACTGAACTTCATCACTGAACAAATGGTCGTTCGTCTTTAATATATGCACGAGTAAGCCAGCAAACCAAGAGCAATAATGTCAATGATGTTAGAATAAAAACAACTATTTATAAATATTAGTTATGAATATTAAACTATTATTTCACATTTTATCAATTCACTTGATTATATGTACACATATTTCATTTTCCACTTCTAAATATTTATATAAACCTTAATTTTAGTTCAATAATACTTTAAGCGTTCTTCAATCTCCGTTTTGAAATTTGTGAACTTGCAAGTTTTCTTACAACTTTATCTGAATTTTAAGCTCTGTTTCCATTATTTCCATTTCGCTTTGTTCCTCAATTGTTTTAAGCTCGACACAGTTTATCTACTTCCAATTTAAACTTATTCTCCTGCACAGGTAGCGGACTGCTTTCTGTTCTTCGATAGATGTTTTTTTTTTATTATGGAAGTAAGTTCGAAAACGGTGTAAGATGACGAAGGTTTCAACGATGTTCACTTTCCAATATAAAAGCAAATAATTTGCAGTTATTTGCATCATATTTGGCCATCAATTCCGCACTGGTTTAATTTTGTCAATCTTCAGCAGCCATATATGTCCGTCGCTCCCCATTTTACCTTTCAACTAGATCCACGAAATTGCTTGTAGTTCAAAAGTTTTACTCTGCATCTTGACACACAAGTTTTGTGCAGTCTGTTTCTGAAATAGAAAAGGATTAAAACTTTGTATTAATAACAGTATTTACCTCAAGATTCTGGACGATCTTTGACTGCATCTGCAACGGATTGCAGCGATGAAAATACCTATTCAGCGATTAAAATAAAACTGTTAAAATTAAAAACTCTTTAACACAAGTTTTCTTCAACTGATTTTGTTTTGACTGTTTACATTTAAATAGCTATCGATTGAGTAGGGTTGCACGTACTAAGGCATACTTCGCGCGGTAAAATGGGCAGATAAAATTAATAATCGACTTCCCGTACTGAGATAAATATTTATTTATCAGGCGATTATCATATCAAGATTATCACGTTTATCAGCCATTTGCACGCTCAAATTATTCTTTTGTTTTAAGACTCGATTTAACACTCCAGCATGCAAATTTTAACGAAAAACGAGGATCCTGCAAAGGTGTACGGCAAAAACTAAATATCTTTCCGATAAAAGATAAAAGAGGTGTGAATTTTTTCTTACTTTTTCTTTTTTGCCTTTAATTAAGAACGTCGGCTTCAACCGATTTTTTCTTACTTCTTCCAATCACGAAAGTATTACTGTTGAAATAAAAGCGCGGTGAATTCCTAGCTATAAACTTCCACTTCATTATAATCCAAAATTTTTGAACTATGTATTTGCGATTAAATATTATAAAAAAAAGAGCAGCGGTCGAGGCTGATAGCAAGCAAAGCATATGCGAAGCGGTGAACACGAAAAAACTGAGCAAAGTTTGCGGAACGAATGTAATTGCAAATAGAATATAAATAAAAAGAAAAAAAAGGAAAATGGTAAACAAATTATAGCAAAATATGGCAATCGGTGTTTATCTTTAAGTTAACTTAAACTTACGAGTTTACTTTCTTGTGCTTTTGCTTACTGAAATCCAACATACCGCCGCCCTTGAACTACATGAGTACATAGTTCAATGTAGTAATATAATTTCCTTATTTTCAGGTTTTTTGTTTTACAAAATTCAATTCAGTTTTCTGAGTTATCGCAAAATAGATTTTCCCTTGTGCGTAGAAGACAAATTTTTACAACAGGTCATACTAACTCTCCAACTGACGTTCTGACGGTTACCACTCTAACGCGACCATCAGCCCCTGGATGGCATTTAATTACTCTAGCTAAGGTCTACTTCGGAGCAACTTAACTGACAACAGCTACAACATCACCTACTTTGAAATTGCATGAAGGTCGAAACCATTTTGTTCGACGTAGTAGTATTTATCCTTCCAACAGCGCCAGAAATGATGTCTCATTGCGGAAAATAACTGCCAATGTTTATGCAAATTTCCACAAGCCTTGACGTTCAGATTCTGGAATAGTCTTCAAAGGTTCACCGATTATGAAGTGCCTCGGTGTTAGAGCCTCTAAATCTTTAACACTTGTAGAATTTTCACAAAGCAGACGAGAGTTGACACAGGATTCCACTTCTATTAGCAACGTGTTGAATTCTTCGTATGATAGCAAAATTTCTCTCAGTACTCGTTTCAAATGGTTTTTTATTCTTTTAATACCGATCTCCCAGTAGCCACCCATAAGGGGAGTTGAGGGGGGGTTAAAATGCCACTCGATGCTTGATTCAGCAAAGAAGGATTGAAATCTGCTATTGGACATGCACTGCTGAAGATTCACACGGAGCATCTTTTCCGCACCAATGAAATTTGTTCCATTATCAGAGAACATTGCCTTACAATGGCCTCTGCGATTAACGAACCTCTTGAATGCATTAAGGATTGCACCAGTGCAGATGCAAATAAACGAACAAATGTAGCCCTTGGTTTACTTTGCACCACTTCTGTGAGTGAACTTAAACATATATGGTCCCGCGAAGTCTACTGCGCTACGAATAAAACATCGAGCATACGTGATACGAGTTACGGGTGGATGACCTATTGGCTGGTTAGCGATGTTGCGATTCAAGCGGGAACATTTTACACATTACATTGCGGATCAAACTGCGAGCACCAACAACACAATATCTTCGTTGAAGCACTGCTTGCATTATCCGGGGTCCAGCATGCAGTGTCAACCTGTGGATTTCGTGTACTATAAGTTTAGCTAACGCGGTAGAATAATAGGATGTTTCTTATCAGATGCAATAGCAGCGTGTTTTAATCTCCCTCCAACTCGAAGCATATCGCACTCATCAATAAATGGCTGCAAGCGCACGAGACAGTGGTATGTAACTTCTCCGATGTTTGTTTCCAGAAACAGCAAGTTTTCTTAAGGAATGTCAGTCCAGCTATGTAATACAATGCGTACGAGCTTGGCAGCAAGATGTGCTGCACATAACTCAAGACGTGGAAGCGTTGTTGGCTTAAGCGGCGCCACTTTCTTTTTAGATTTAACAAAATGGTGACCCTTCCATCATTTTGAGCAGTACGCGCGTACTATGTGGCAGCATAAGCCCGTTCAGATGCATCAGCAAAAACATGTAACTCTATGATTGACCCATCTATTATTTATTTTTCTCGATCTGTAACAAACTTCGAATGCCGAAATTTCGTGAGTTGTCCAAAGCGACTTCGGGTTTCAAGGGTAATTCGACAATAAAACGACCGCTAAGGTCTCTTCGATGACTTTATCTGAAATGGTCTTTACAAAACTGCTCTTCAGACGTAAGATGCATCTTTTGGGGTGCCTCTTCTAACTCCCACAACTTGGCTAGCGCTCTTTCGAGGTGAACATCGCAATGTAACGACTAAAACCGGGATGAAGGTGACTCCTTAGCCGAAATGCTCCCGAATAACGTCCAGCCAAACACCGTTCTTTTAGCCATAGGTGTGCCAAGAAGACCCTTTTGTAACCCAGAACATAGAAATTGCTCAATTACGTCCATTCCAATCAATAAATCGACGCGTCCAGGCTTCATAAATTGTGGATCAGCCATAAGCAAATCATTAACATGAGACCATGAAGAGACAGCTAGGGCGTGCGTAGGAAGCTCGCTCGTGATATTAGATAAAATTAAAGCATTTATGGTGTAACATTCATCTGAATAGCAAGGCGAAAGTGAAATTAGTGTCTCTCCTCTTGATTTGCTTCCCTGCGAGGATCTAATTCCCGTGATGAAAACTGTAGATGGGGATCGTGATAAGCCCAAATGTTATACACACGATTCCGTTACGAACGAAGCATGTAATCTGGAATCGAATAACAGACGAGCAGGTTGCCACTTGCCAGTGCAATCTTGGAGCTTTACCAAAACTGTGGAAAGTAATACAGTTCTTTGCGTTGTCGGCGATGAACTGGAATTTAAGCATGAAGATATACATAGTGGTGCTGCCCCAGTTGATGAAGTGAATCCAGATGAGAGATTTGCGTGGAGCCTCCAGACGAGGGTTCCTTTACTTCGTTGACGAGGTATGTTGGAGATACATTGGCTGCATTCGAGTTAAAATGGAAGGTATGATGTCGTTTTCGACATATTCAACAAACTGATGGGCTGTTGCACTGGGCTTTGTAATGTAATGTCCGGTACTTAGACAATTAATACATGCCTTTGATTCTTTTACAAAGCTCGATCTTGAGTTCGACTACTATAAATTTTGTGCGATCCATTGCAGTAAATACAGCAAATAACGTTCGTATCAGATAAGGCGTGAAATACCTTGGCCAATTTGGTGGTTGCTGCAGTTGACGCAGTCGGCATCGAAAGTCGGCGGGTCTTCGTTAAGAAGCGATAGCTCCCATTGCTTTCTAGTTTCAAATGCTAATCTGCTGACGATTTCATGAACTAGCCAGTCGTCCCAAAACTCGACTGGCCGGCCTATAGCCTTGAGTTCTCTAATATGCTGCTGAAACGCATCAAAAACAGTTTTTACGAGTATAGCTTCTGCCGTATAATTATACGCTTTCCGTATTTCAGCCATCGCTCGAAAATGAACTTCCACGATAACATGCAGAACTTTATAGCCGGACTTAAGTAAGACTCATGCTTCGCTATAATTTGCATCACAAATTTTAAACCCGTTAACAATTTTTAACGCATCTCCCTTTAAGCAGCTGCGTAGATAATGCAATTTTTGGCTCTCAGATTGGGCGACGTTCGTATCTACTAATGCGGAGAACGCATCATAAAAGCCTATCCACTCTGTTGAGTATCCAGAGAACGACGCAAAGTCCATTTTGGGTAATCTTATAGGCCCATACACATGCGTCGAATTTGCAGAGAGTTGAGCAGTGGGTTCGATGCGGCACTTTAACATTCGGTTAAAATTTGATAAGGAGGTAGAGTACCATTTCTCTGCCTAGATGCGGATATTTTCTTCCAACTCGCAAGCATCAATCCCGCAGGAAATCTCGACAGCATCTTGTGCGGTATTGAAACGAATTTATTGCTCATTAAGTTACTGAAGGTAACTTATAATATTTTCCATATCCATGTCAAGGTCATCCTCCATACTCTTCTCTAAATAGCGTTTTATGAAGTTTAGAGCAGAGTCACGAGTTTAACGGAGTTTGACCTTTGTTGTACGATGAAGCACGGTTTTTTAAGAAATAGCGGTGCTTTTTGAAAGTCAGAGCAAGTCGACGGTATCTTCAACTGCGATTACACGTGAAAACAAAGATGTATTTTGTAAGAATTCTCTGTTTATTGGTGGTATCCGGTAAATATGTAATTAAGTTGCGGGTTGTGCTTGTAACGTTGCGAGCGGAGCGAACGTATCCAGTTCGAAGGACCAGAGTTTATGTTGAAATAAAAACGCGGTGAACACTAGCTATAAACTTCCACTTTATTATAATCCAAAATTTTTGAACTATATGCAATTAAATATTATAAAAAAAAGAGCAGCGATCGCGGCTGATAGTAAGCGAAGCATATGCGAAGCGGTGAACACGAAAAACTGAGCAAAGTTAGCGAAACGAATGTAAACAAAGCTTAAGTAGGCTGCACATATAACTTACGAGTTTACTTTCTTGTGTGTTTGCTTATTAAAACCCAACAATTACAATACACACTATGACTCCTACTAATATAAGGCTTATTTTAAAAATACTTAGTACTCAATATAGCATTTCAATATTATCATTCGAAAGTTACAATTCTACCGAAAAAGTACTTAATATTATCTTTATTACATGATTCTTTACAGACAGAAAATTGTGCCCGAGGAAAAGAAAATATACACGTATTTAGCTCCAGGAGTCGATTTTAGACCGGAAACGTCGCCATATTTCCCAAAAGACTTTGACATCGAGCGACCACCCCATGATGGCCTTGCGCAGGCTCCACAGTAAGTTTGCCAATAATAATAAATAAGCTTCAAAGTGTAGTACGTCCATAGTCTTAAGCATACAATGCCGTTGATCAATCTCTTAAAATTATGCTCGATTTCGTTTCTTTCAACATTTGACTTATATGATAATTTTTATTTGCTTTTAATTATGTAAACAGATTTTTACGCCGAGAAAATGACTCTTGCTATGGTGTGAAAGGTCACAACACTGAATTAATGTGGTTTGTATATGGTTACCCAAAACCAAAGATGACGTATTATTTCGATGGCGCGCTAATCGAACCTGGTGGAAGATTTGACTATAGCTATACCCGAAATGGACAAGCTACACTCTTTATAAATAGGTTGGTATTTATTATTTTGCTATAAATAATTAAAAAAAAGAATGGTAGAGGAGTGTGTTTATACTGTAGATAGTTTTTGATTTGATTTTTTTTCTTTCATTCTTGAGGCAGAAATTCCTCAAAATAGAGATTGTTTATAAATCTATATTTTGGAAACAATAATTCATCATTCATTGCCTAGAAAATCTCATTTGTGTTCAACAATAAATTAATACTGACTTTTCAAGCCTTTTTTCCCAACAAGGGGCGGGCTGAATGAATGAATTAAAATGTTATAAAACAAAACATTTTTTTTTCCATGGATCGAAAATAATCACTATTCTTCCAAATAGCACATATGTAGGAGCATTCTGTTTATTTAAGGGCCCTTCGGGTTTCATTATTGATTTTGAAATGTCTGAAAAACATCTCTAAATCGCATGACTAATGATTAGCTCAAGTTTTTATTTGTCGGAAAATAATAACTAAGAAAATAATAAAATAATTATTACGTTGATTATTAAATTTATTGATTAAAACAGGGATTTTCTTAAGGGTTTTAATAGATATTTATTGAATTTTATGTTCCAAGTTCGTTATTCTTAGTATACAAAGAGCAAGTGCAATACTCCATGAACAAAGAGAATTTTTTATTAATATTACATATACTGTGTAAAGCCAGTAAATAGGTGCAAGCGAGTGCCTACGTGTTTTAACAAATAAATAAAAAGCGAGGTGTCGATTTCGTCAATCTGTGTTGTTTTGTCTTGTACAAAAGAATCGCTGTTCCTTTATCTTTATAAAACTAAGAACCTTCGGGAAGTAGATCTTGGGACCAACCTATTTCAAAAATCGTCGTTCTAGTATAATTAGTCCAATATTATGTGATAGGAGAGTATTAATTAATATATATACATGCACGATGGCTCTGCTGGAATAAATAATTCTTTTAAATATTTCCCTGCACATTACAACATATCTACATATACCTTATTTGAGGCAACGAAAATCTCATTGAACGGGCTGCCGATTTTGTTCAAATGCTTCGTCACAACGAGAATTTAAATTATCCATTTCATTTTTAAAAAATTGATATTCAACTTTCTAAAATTAAAAAAAAAAAATGCTTAAAATGCAAAACCTTTCTAAGCAAAAAATTAAGACAAATATAATAATAGAAATAAAATTATTATCAGGCGGCTTAGCATTTAAAAAAAATATAAACAATATGCATAAATATTTTTCAAGTCGCAATATATTGCAGGTAAAATGAAAATAAGATAAACAGGCCTATTCTGTCGAGGTAACAAAATTTACATTGGTATTAAAATTTACCATTCAGTAAATTTTACTACTATCTCGTAATCTGAGTTCACTGTCACACTGTAAATTTTGTTACCAGCGAAACAGGAGGTAACAAAAACTCTACTGTTTGTTAGTTTGAGAAAAAAAAAAACAAAAACCAAAATAGGTAGACATATTTTAGGCCTGAAGATGAAGAAAAAAGTGTAAAAAGTCGTATGGTAAAAAGTTTGCGAGAAACAAATAACCCTTTTATTTAGAAGATAGCGTTCTTATTCAGCTTTTTTCTATCGCTTAGGCATATTTTACAACATTAGGTTCCAATATATATGATTTAATAAGCAATTAAATAAAACTTATTTATTTTGAAGTGCACCGTCTTCCATTTCGATGTGAATATTTTTCTTTTTACTTTATCAACTGGCAAATTTAATTTGACATGGACGAAAAAAGCAGTGTTGCCAAAGTTTTTTTAAGCATTGTAACCAGTTCGCCAGAATACCAAATTCAATTTCGGGTGTTAAAAAAGTAACAAAATTTACTTTACTGGTAACAGTGAGAATAGGCATGATAATGTCAAAAATCTTTTTCTGTCATTTATGTTCAGTGAAACTATCTTCTTTTTTCTTTTTTGTATAATGGAATTATATTATATGTAGAAAATTAATTTCAAAACAAATATACATGCACAAATTTGGAAGTAATGGTACAGAAAAATCACGGTCCAGTAAATATCAAATGTTGCAAAGAGGATGAGGAGAAAACGATAATCCATCTCTTAGGCGACTGCGCTGCTTTGAGCAGGGCTAGGTTTCGGAATTTTGGGACCATGTTGCTGTATGGACGTCAAAGTCGTAGAACTAAGGAAAATCTAAAAGATAATTAAGCCTGATGGTCAAGTGTCTTATAGCTTATTTCCACCAAGCACTTAAATGCATTTAAGGCCTCTGTTAAGTGAATGAAATGTCAAACGTTTCCACCGAAAGTGAGTTAACTCAAACAGCTGATTTTTGGTTACATTTGCAGATTACAAAATTTGCCACAACTATTGAAATCATGAATTCAAGAAAACGCATTCATTTTATTTGACTATTTATGCAATCTTAAGATTTGCAAGTGAAGATTACTGCTGCACAAACAAACGTTGCTGAAACGAAAATGATTTTATTCATGTTTCCATTTTCATATTTGTTTGTTTGTTCTCTCAAATTATTTATTCTACGCAATCAGCTGATAGTTACCAGAGCCACGTATATTTTTATGTTGAGGGGATCGTTTGATATTTCACAATTGTTTTTTGTTTGTTTCTTATAGTTTTTTTTTTGAAGGCGGAGAAGCATTCTCTTCGCCAATTACTTAATATAGGCATTTATGTTAAAACTAGCGCAAAATAGGAATTTTTATACAAAAAATTTCACCATGCAAAATAAAAGTCTCGCCCCTCAATAAATCCGAAATTACACGACTCTGGCAAGTGTGTTAACTCACTTTTATACAAAAACAAACACATGGGAGTTACCGCATTTAAATGCGATGTTTAAATACATTTAAGCTAAAATGCATTTAACGTCCGGTGGAAATAGGCTATTATAACGATTTCTTTTCGTTTTGATAAAATTGCGCCGAAATGAAACAAACTTATTTCTTTAAGGTTATTTTTCACGTTTACCAAATGGAACGGCATTGTTTCGTTGGTAAAGCATGCCTAATAGATATTTTTGTATATATAATTTCGGTCGACCTCCTCCTTCAATTTCTGATATGCGTCTTGATATTTTCTCCAACAAGGTGAGGCATTAAGTCGTCTCCGACTAGGAGGAGCTTTTAAGTGCATATAGTGCAGTAAGTGTTGTACTGCCGTTGTCTGGGCACCTGGACACAGAGACATTCCTGGCATTTGGATAGCGGACGAACTAATGAATAAAAGAACCCTTCAACCAACATGCACACGATGTTGGTTTACATCTGTTTACGGAAAATTACATGCTTAACTGACCTTTACCAGGGAAGCTGACTCAAGATCACGTGACCAGACACCTAGACCACTATGGCGGAAGTTAGGCGCGAAAAAATTAAAATATCTCATCCTGCTAGACCTGTTATCCATTGACATAACGACTAGCATAATAACTGGTTACTGTTTAATGGAGCTACACTAATGATTTTTGCCACATCGGTAGGGACGAAAAAGAGGAGGATACCATCGAGCACTATCTCTGCCATGGCTTAGCCTTGACCTCTGCGCGACACAAGTTACTTGGAGAACACTTGTTCGACTCTCTCGCATAGATAGCGTCAACGAATATTGTAAATCTCGTTGCCTTATAAGACACGTGAAATGGCTCGAACATTGCAGAAGGTAAAGGTATCACAATTAGCCTATTGGACTCAGTGCGCTGTAATGACCAGCAGCCGCATCAACTCAGCTCAACCTTTTTAAGGGCATATAAGGAATACACTCGAAGGGGTGATTTGTTTCTGCTAATGGTCATCGCATGGTTGGTCTGTAGTATCTAGTGAGAGAAATATTTATATTGTTATACAAAATTCTAAATAAGAAATTGTGAAGAATTGATGTTTTGGTCTTTCCTCTCGAACTTATCCTTACTTGTTTTGAATTTCTTACTGCTTCTTTTCTAACTAACAATATCTTTTTAAAAAAAGCATGCTTGAACGCGATGTTGGATGGTATGAAGCTGTAGCCACTAATGAACACGGTGAAGCTCGACAAAAAGTGAAGCTAAAGATTGCGGATTATCCAAGATTTTTGAAACGCCCAGACGAAGCATATATAATGATGAGAAAGAATGGACGCTTGGAAGCACACATTGTTGGTGAACCACTTCCAGAAATCAGATGGTACAAAGACTGGCTTCCTTTAGCCGATAGTACAAGAATTAAGGTTAATTAATTACATATGTACATATATAAGTCGATTGAAGTTTCTAAACTAATAAAAATATGAACATTTTCTTTAAATTTTAGACCAATTTTTACGAGCCTAATATTTATGTACTATCTATTAATGACGCAATAATTAAGGACGAAGGTCTATATTCTGTTAGTGCCCGAAATGTAGCAGGTTCTATAAGTACTTCTGTGATGGTTCACATAGAAGATAATGAAGACGAATATATCTATAAAACTTATGGAAGACATCCATACATCCGAGCCAGACAAAATCGGTATAATGATAAATATGACATTGGTGATGAGCTAGGACGTGGTACTCAAGGAATTACATATCACGCCGTAGAACGCGCAACAGGTGATAACTACGCAGCAAAAATTATGTACGGTCGGCACGAATTGCGTCCATTTATGTTGAACGAAATAGATATAATGAACAGTCTTAATCATAAGAATTTGATTAGACTGCATGACGCTTATGATCTTGATAGAAATGTTACTCTTGTTATGGAACTAGCAGGTGGCGGAGAACTTGTAAGGGATAATTTACTCATGCGAAATTACTATACAGAACGAGACATTGCGTTCTACATAAGGCAAGTGTTATGGGGTTTGGATCACATGCATGACCATAGCATGGGCCACATGGGACTAACGGTAAGATTACTTATTTTTTAATTAATTTAAATGGCCTTAATTTAAGTAGAAATACGCTAAGTTTAGGCTGTATACACTATATACTATTTTATAATATACCGTCGAATTAATAATTTAACTTAGTTTTACATAAAATGCCAAATAAAGAATTGTCAAATTAAAATTACGAATATAACTTAGTTTAGTGTATTCATTTAGTTTAAGAATAAGTTAATTAGTTAGTTTATTTAATAAGTTAAATAAACCTAATTTTTAATAGATATGTATTATATAACTGCGTAACCAAACATATTATTATTGAGACGCTGCGTTTTACATGGTATCTTTTCTAAATTTTTTATATCTCGGTGAAATTCTTCACCTTGCTCTTTCAACATTATTTTCACAATTCAACACATTGTTTTTATCTTGTCAAAACTTGATACTGATCCTCAAGTAGTAAGCTAGATAGGGGAAAATATGATTTTCCTACATATACATATGTACTCGTATATGCCTGTAAATATTTATTTACATATTTATTTATCTGGTGTATTACAAATTCTATCCTATTCAACGTAGATAACTGAAAATCGGCGGCCGGACTTAAACCATTAAGTTCCCGAGTTCTAGTAATCTAAGAAACCTCATAATAATATAATATGTATTAACCTCCAATTAAGGTGGTCTTTCGAAAAACCGAAAAGTAGTGCTAAATTCCTGACATTGGCTCAAGAAACTCGGAATGATGGATGAACGAGCACATAGGGCGTTTCCGTTGCGAATAATACGGTTATTATTTTGGACAGTATATGATTTTCCATATTTTTTGCGCAGGTGGTAACCCACAGTTGAATGAAGTTAAAGGGATAGCACCTTTATCAACTCGAATAATTATCTCACTTATAGCCGATTTGTTGAGATGGTCAGGCCACCCTTTCATATCTAATTAGTTACATATTTCCTCTTTGTTAGCTATATATTTATTTAAAATTTTCAATCAGGGCATTATTTGGCAGGTTGATAAAGTTAAAGTAGAGTATACGAGTTTTCTTATTAACTCCTATGTATAACTATTATACATGCCTAATATCAAATTTGTTTATTTTATTACATTTCTCTAGATTAAAGACTTACTGGTAACCGTAGTGGGAAGCAATGACCTAAAAATTTCGGATTTTGGTCTCTCCCGGAAAATAAACTCTCATGCTTTAACAACGTTAGACTTTGGAATGCCAGAATATGTTTCGCCCGAGGTGGTCAACAAAGAAGGTGTTGGTTTTGCTCATGATATGTGGTCAGTGGGCATTATAACATACGTACTACTAAGTGGACGAAATCCTTTCAGAGGGTGTGATGATTATGAAACACTCTCAAAAATTCGTGAAGGGCGTTGGGACTTCAGTGACTCTGTCTGGTCGCATATATCTGATGATGGAAGAGATTTCATATCACGTTTGTTATCATACAGAGCAGAAGATCGTATGGATGTTAAAACTGCTTTGAAACATCCATGGTTCTTTATGTTGGACAAATTTCCGACCGGAAATGAATATCAGATCACTACGGATCATCTACGGAGCTATTATGACCAATTTTACGATTGGAGCAGGAATGCAGCTTGTAAAAATTACTTCCGCCGAAGACGCCTCAGTGGATGCTACACTCATCCATCTAGAATGGTTTATCCTCCAGGACATTCATATACCCCCGAAGCAACACCAGAACCTTTACCAGAACCAAAGAAACGATCTACCAAAAAGGAAAGTTCTATGTCGAAGTATCTTCATCCGGATTATGAATTGGGCTTAATTCAAACAGAAAGCCAGTAAGTGTTTTTAATTTAGTTATTTTTCTTCATAAACACAAATTGAACCGTATTAATGGGAATTCAAAGAAGCTCGCCAAAAATAAAATAGTGCAAAGCAGACAGGCTTGAAAATTTTGCCAGCCGACAGTAAATTGGAGCAATTGATATGACATTTCCACAATTTTCTGTTACTTTCTTGATTATTTGGATATTTTCATTACATAATTTCATTAAATAGAACAGATTCAACAACAGGCTTTTGTCGAGCCATGTAATGCTTTGACTAGTCGATTTTGTAGACGATTTTTCGTAACACAAATTATGTACATAGTGGATAAAACTAGTGCATTAAGTTCGTATATGCCCATCTTTGTGAGATTCTAAAATTGATCCATAAACAAGTATACCTCCCAATTCTTTTGATTCACACTTTTAACAAAATGTGTATGTACCTTTCCATCGAATTCAATTGAACCATCTTCAAGTATTTTAAAAACTTATTTAGCTATTATGCATTAATTTTCTCACTTGGTTTAGGCATGCACCTCGCTATACCCATTCTCACATATTTTTAGGCATTCGGTTTTTTGGCTTTCTGCGATTTCATGTACTTATGCAAACGTGAATGCGCGTGTGTATGTTTCAGGTGTACAACTTTGCTTCCGCCGTTTTCCGATTGTTGGCTGTACGGGCTGAGGCTGGTTGAGTGAGTGTGGACTCCTCCAACACGACAATGCTCGGCCTCACGTCGCAAAAGTGGTCAAAAAGTACCTGGAAACGCTGAAATGGGAAGTCTTGCCCCACCCGCCGTATTCCCCAGAAGTCGACCCTTCTGACTTCCACCTATTCCGTTCGATGGCACACGGCCTGATAGATCAACATTTTCAATCCTTCGAAGAATTGGAAAAATGGATTGCTTCATGGATAGCGTCAAAAGAGGACTCCTTTATTTCGAGCCGGGATTGAATAATATATCTCTAAGCACTTTTTCGCAATAAAGCTTTTAATTTTGAAAAAAAACGGTGGAAGCAAAGTTCTACATCTGATATATTTATGCATAATTATCTGCATAAACGCAACCATCAAGTGGACAGTGAAGCGAGGAAAATAATGTGTATATTAGATGCCAAACAAGGGGTGGCTTGTACATATTCGAAGGATTGCATTATGGCGTGCTTAAATGTTTTCCAGCACCAAGAACGGCCAAAAACGCCGTACCTAAGTAGTGTATGCTTGGCTTACAAACTCGCTTGGAGCACCCCCTGGTTTCACAAATTTTGAAGAGCTAACTCGCTCCCTCGAGAGCATTGTAAAATATATTAACGTAACGCGATAATTTTCGATTTGAAGGAAACTCACTATTCACTGACAGAAATCGGCATTAAAAAAATATCTAAAAATTTTGTGTTTTGCAAAAAATATAAAAAACTATCTCATTGGGGTATCTAGATTCTTATTGTATCAAGTTTAATATATATTGTATACAAAATAAATTTTTGAAAGACTTTTTTTTAAATTAATTTCATATTCTCAAAATTTTTTTCTTAACAAACCTCAATCAACGAAAATAGAAATAAATTACTTTAGATGGAAGTTTACATACATATATATCAGTGTAGAACTTATCCACCAAGCTCCGCAATTTTTGCTCTGTCATCAAGGAAGGAAGGAAGAGGATCTCTTGATGGCTTGATGAAATTAAAAATTATCTGTTGATCTATACGGATGCGCTTAGACTAGTTAGTTATTGATAGCAGAGCACAAAATTAATCATTTCACAAAAAAAATAATGCTCGTCAGCCTTCATACATGTTTTAATATGGCTCAAGTATCAAAAACTTTTTTAGACTTTTTTCTTATCAATCAGAACAGTATTCAATAAAAATTCAAGTACTTTGTTGGCAAGTAATATAATTTCTAATAATTTTCTATCTATGGATTATTTGAAACGGAAAACCGAAAATAACGTGACAATTAATTTGTTTCTACATTATTATGTATTCGAATTTTAGTTTTAAACGAAAATCCATTAACTTCTTCCAGTTACCAATATGGACCTGATACATATTTGCTGCAACTTCGGGATGTAAGCTTTCCTGTGCGGTTACGCGAATATATGAAAGTCGCTCACAGAAGATCACCCTCTTTTGCTCTTAATGATAACGTGGACTGGTCTGTAAGTACAAAAATGTTTTATTTATTATTTTACGCGAGCCTATGAATTTACAGTGGAGTAAGGGAAAAATTAAAAACCTTTCGGCTTTTATTGATCAATAAAAATCTATATCTGATTGTATGTGGAAAATAGATAAGAAAAGTGGAACTTCTTTATAATTTAACATTTAATAATAATAACATATTCTATATTCTATTTTTTTCTGACGCGGTAGCCGAGTCCAAAAGTTATGGAAAATTAATTTAAATAAAAACTTCAGTTAAAATTTTTTAATTGCGGTTGTCCCTCGGAAGGGAATTTCCAACCCTCCGAGTGTATTTTTGACATGAAGTAAAGCTCCTAATAAAAAAACCCTCAGCCGTTCGGAGGCGGCTTAACATGAATTGTAGGTCCCTCCACTTGTTGGAAAAACATCAAGACACAAAACCCCAAATGGGAGGAGGAGCTTCGATCGAAAAATCGCTACAGTACCTACAAAGCGCCAATTATGGGTGTATGCATTTCGCATCGTTTTCAGTAGATGTCATTTGCTTCAGCGTGAACAACAATTTGTTTCATTCATTTGAAAATATCGAAATTTGTAACAGATAAAGTTTTTTTGCGGGGAGTTCTCCTTCATTACTTTAACATGAAGAAAAGTGTTACCGAAAGCTATGGTATTTTACTGGACGTTAATGGTGACCATGCTTTAGCCGAACAAACGTGCAAAAAGTTATTTGCACGGTTTAAAACGACGGAGAACGACCCGGATAGCCAAAAAAATTTCGAGACAAAGAATTGGAGACATTGCTCTACGCAGATGCATGCCAGACGCAAGAAGAACTTGCAAAAGTATTAGTAGTTGATCAAGCAAACGTTTCCAGACTATTAAAATAATTTTTTCACAATAAAGTCCTAATTTTCGAAAAAAAAAACCGCACGAAGTTATGCATAAACCCAATATGTCTTCTACCTTCAGCAAATTTGAGTAGTTAAATGTAAGCCTAATAGGTCTCAGTATACACAGATTAATAAAAAAAAAACATTGTTTCATAATAAATTTTTTCCAGTGTCCGAGTACATTTTAAAATGACAAAACTATTTTTGAAGTTTTGAAATTTATTTATTTTATGCTTCTTTTTATATGTATTCCAATGCAAGTAAAAACTACATTAATTTTTTAGATTCACAGGTATTAATGTCTTATATTACACAGTATAATAATATTAAAATGTACAGTAGTCCCATTAAACATAAATTATACAACTAGCTGCTGAGGTTAATTTAGGTCTGGCGTGCATAAAATAAAAACATAATGTGAGATCTAGTATTTTGTCCACAAACAAACTTACAACCAAAGTGATGCAGCTATCTGAGCAATAGTATAATTAGTTTTATTTGAAAATTAAATAAAATTTCGAAAAAACATGAATGCCAATTAATAGCGGCAAATATACACATTTCATTTATGTTTTAATTTATTTTTTTTTATTTATTTTGATATGTTTTTTGTAAGTAACAAATAAACAAACTTCACTATTAAATTGTATCTAACAGGGAAAATGATACAGCAACAAAAAAATTAATATTTTTTATTTTTATTAAAGAACAAAACTAAAATTGTATGTTAATTAATATTTAGCAGAATACCCCTTGCTGTCTATGACTGATTTCATACGTTTACGCAATATTGTTCCATTCTATTTGTAGGGCTTTTTTTAAGTCGGCTTGATTTCGAATCTCATATTTTCGAATCTCTCGTTCCAAAACTGACTACAGATTCTCAATCACTTTCAAACCTGGACACTGCGCAGGGGTTTCTACTATGTGCGGACAGTTTCGAATAAGCCAACTTTGCACAACGCGGGATTTGTGTTTCGGATCATTATCTTGATAGTACCGAAACTTGTCATGAATATTTAATTTTTAAGCACTATGCAACAAATCTCGTTTCAAAATGTCCAAATACACAGTCGTATCCATAGCACTATTAATGAATCCAAATTTTACACTCCAAAAGACGACATGATAACTGGCATTCATGTTTTTTGGAAAACTTATTTAATTTTTAAATAATACTTATTACACTATTTCTTAGATAGCTGCAACACTTTGGCTGTGAGCCACTGTATGTAGGTGTATATGATTATAAATCCACTTAGTTCTAAATATTTTTTAGTTCACTTTAGTAAATGTATATTTAATAAATTAACTCGGATTCACTTAACTTCAAACAGTTCTATTCTGCGTGAATTCAGTTAAACCCGTCCGTTCACTTTGGTTTAGGCTGCAACTACCCATTTCACTTACCAGCCGTCCATAACTGGCGACATCAAGGCGAGATACATACACGAGTTATCGACGCTGCTGAGAGCGGCGGAATGTTGAAATCGCTGTTGGTTTCTGGGGGACAACCGTCACAACGGCATGGGCAAGCGGCGACAACTTTGTGTTTATATGGCGCTCTCATAAGATAGGTTGCTATGGACGGCTGGTACGTGTGTTGGATAGTTGCAGCATTATGCCGTGCTCCTCTCCAAAGATAACTAGATACGAAACTCTTTTTTTCGTGAGAGCGCTCAGCAATCTGGATTTTCTATAACATTTCTGAACGGTGCCACTGTAAATGACTTCTTTGGATTTTTAGGTATATTTTGGATATTTAATTACGAACAACGACGTCTTTAATTAAAATTTCACTAAAAGATTTCATTGAAAAACAATCAAATATTTTATCATATTACGTTTTAATAATAAAATTACAACAATTTAATTAATATAATATTTACTGGTGAAGCAAATTTCTTTTAAACCAAAAACAATGAATTTTTTTATTGACGTGGTACTGTTGCATTTTGTTGAATGGTCCCCGATCTACCGTTGCTGCGTCGAATGTGAGGTGGGGGGACGCTCTCAATTGAAAATTGAGGGATTTTGAGTAAGTTTCGTATCTAGTCATCTTTGCTACTCTCTACTCGTATCGTTTCCTTTCTTTTCTGTCTTTTTGGTTTGTTCGTTATTTCTATTTGTACGTTAGAGTTGTATTTTGTCATATTACTTGTTAGTACGTTTGTCCACAACGTGTCAGGTGCTAAAGAATGAAGGTGTTAAAAAGACAGAAGTAAATTTGGTATGTAGGAGAAATTCGAGTATACTATTTTAAGACACCTCGGCCCCACCCCCTGTGTGTTTTACATAATAACTGCGACCGCCAATATACTAGTTCAACTTTAGGTAAAACGAAAAAAATCGAGCAAATTGAAACATACTAAATAAGATTTTTAAAAACCAATTTCTGCATGTCTGATTATAGTCAGTAATTTTAAAGCGCCATTTATATATGTAAGAATAAATGCAATAATTTTCCTATAGATTTCGTTATTTATCTGTATCGCACATTGTATAAGTCCTATCGGTTTTCTCTAGATGCCGTTAGAAAGATGACATTTCATAGCAAAGAGAGAATACGTAAGGCATGGTTCAGAACATGCCAAATAAACGGAGCAAGCAGTTCCTTATCTTTAAACTCGTAACACCACTTATACGATTCATAGCCCTTTCGTCATATGTACAATAGTTTTCACTTATTATAAATCTCAAATAAAGATTTTCCCTTCCAAACGAGATAACGGATGTCGCTACGTATTTCGTGTTGCCAAGTATTCAAAAATATAATATAATCCTTCCGGTCGTAAGAGCATTAGTACAATTATGTTCTGACTATAAATCTTAGTTGTAATTGATGCGATAATCTCTTTTTCCAAGGTAAATATTGGAGGAATATCAGCTCAGTTCTGAAATACGATTTCGATCAGAATCGGAATTGAATTGAATTTAATCGGTATTGTATTCGCTCGGCATGTCCTGAAATCCCAAAAGATTTTGTTTACCGGAATTTATATTCGAGGCCGATTATTCAACGAATTTGGCGTTTTTGTCTATTTCGGTTTATCGGAAAAACCTGACAAAATTTTTGTTGATGGATTAAGCTTGCTTTTTTCCAGGTTAGTTTTTTCAGCTCTCAAACATAACTTGTGCAACAAAACAAATGAAATTTGATGCTCCGAATCGAATTTACTTTATGTTCGAACTTCTCAATTCCATAGGATTGTTTAGTCTACGGTTGAATTTTTTGGAATAATATCTATTTAACTAAAGTATAAATGCCTCATGTTCCTTGGAGGCTAGCCTTTTCATTAAGTATAGTTTTATTTTAAATCTTCTTATGTACTCTACTCTTTTTCAGGAGCTAATAGGGAAGTGGCAAATTTTTATATGAAATATGCATAGTAAATGCACAGGAAATAAATTTTATTTTAATTTATTGAAAAGAAAAACTCTGAGTTTTACCAAAAATATAAATGAGAGATCTAACACCTCTTGGTCATATTTTAAAGTTGACAAATTTTCTAAGCTTGTATAGTTACTTCCTTATGCAATATATGCGAAATATTTCCAAAGGCAAAATCGTTTATGTACTTACATAAATATATTGATAATTTAATTAAATGACTATTATCTTTTTTCTACTTTGCAGTTACCTGTTATTCGTGAACGCCGGCGTTTTACTGACATTATGGATGAGGAAATTGACGATGAACGCGTCCGGAGTCGTATAAACATGTATAGTTCAAATGACTCCTTTTCTATTCGTAGGCTTCGAACAGAATTAGGTCCTCGCCTTGATGAATATACGGAGGCTGAAGCTCTGATTGAGAGCCAAAGAGAAGGATGTCTTCCGTTTTTCAGGGAAAAACCACAAACTCTTGCTATTGTAGAATATCAACCTGCCCATATTCATTGCTTTGCAGTTGGAGACCCTAAACCATGTATTCAGTGGTTTAAAAACGATATGGTTCTAAGTGAATCAAATAGAATTAAAATAGTCACTGATGAAGACGGAAGATCAATTCTGCGCTTTGACCCAGCTGTCCATACAGATATAGGAATATACAAGGCCGTAGCGAGAAACTCTGTCGGGCAAACTGTGGCACGTTGTAGATTAGTTGTTGCTACATTGCCAGATGCTCCTGATTCCCCAGAAGCCTCGGCCATCAGCGGAAATGCTATTCTTTTAAGATGGAAGCAGCCAAAAGATGACGGCCATTCACCAGTTTTATGCTACAGTTTACAATACAAAGATGTTAATGCAGATATATGGACCACAATCGCAGATAATATTGATCATGAATTTTATTTTGTACATGTTCTCCACCCTAACACGAAGTACCAATTTAGATTAGCATCTCGTAATCGCATTGGTTGGAGTGCAATGGGTATTCCACTGACGGTTGAAACTGCATCGGAAGATTCACCAAAAATACATATATCAAAGGCAATGGAACATCTACAAAAATTAACTGAGAGTGGTCAAGAAATCTTACCAGAAGAAGAGCGCGTGCATACTGACTATCATTGTGAATGCGAACCACCGAATTGGATAACTGACAGCAGCGTTAATGAGAAATATAGTTTTATTTCAGAAATATATAGAGGAGAATTTAGTACCATCGTTAAAGGAGTTCAAAAGTCAACAAACGCTATTATTGTAGCTAAAATTTTCGATTTAAATGAAGAAACGGAGCCTCTCGTATTAGAAGAGTTTGAAAATTTTAGAACCTTAAGGCATGAAAGAATTGCAGCACTATTTGCAGCATATAAACCCATCAACGTACCATTAGCCATATTTGTAATGGAAAAATTGCAAGGTGCTGATGTATTGACATACTTCAGTAGCCGTCACCAATACACAGAACAAATGGTGGCAACGGTTATAACTCAACTATTAGATGCCTTGCAATATCTACATTGGAGAAGCTACTGCCATCTAAACATTCAGCCTGATAATATCGTCATGGCTTCAGTACGTTCGGTACAAATTAAATTGGTGGACTTTGGATCCGCCAAAAGGGTAAATAAATTAGGAGCAAAAGTTGTAGCAAGTTGCATGCTTGATTTCCAACCACCCGAGGTAGTAAACGAAGAACCCATATTTCCGCAAAGTGATATTTGGTCCGTTGGTGTGCTGACCTATCTATTGCTTTCTGGAAAAAGTCCCTTCCGCGGTATTGATGATTACGACACAAAGCAAAACATATCGTTCGCTCGCTATAGATTTGAGAATCTATTTAGCGAAGTAACTCCCGAGGCGACCAGATTTATTATGTTCTTATTTAAACGCCATCCAACGTAAGTAACATTCCCTAACATATAAAATACTATGATGAAAAAATAACCTCACGGAGGTTTTATCCAATTATCAGTTCATTTTCATATTTCGATTCCACAATGTGAATTAAAAAATTTCCCCTGAAAATGAATTGATGTGCACTCATTTTCACAAATTTTATCATCCACTAAAACTCCTTTTTTGTTATACGCTTTTATTCTGCCACACACACATTGATTATCGTTTTGGAAATTCACAAACAGCAGCGGTTGAAATTTTCCTTTCAGTTTGTACGATGAAAAAATAAAAAATATTTTACAAATATGAGAAAACTCGCAGTGAGCAAAATCTAAATCATTGTAACATTTTTAATTTTTAATATTCAATTCACTTACAACCATGTAATCGGATTCAAGTCATAAAAATCTATATGGATGTGAAAGTTGGAGCATGAGTTATGTGATTTCAATCCAAGTTTACAGAAACTTTGTGAATATAAAAAATGACTGCATACTCGTATGTACATATATATGCTATATACGAGTATGTAGGAAAAAGCATTCAGTGGTTATGGCCAAAAAAAAGTGGTGACCTTCATCAAGAAGTGCTTCATTAAGTACTATGTCGGTTTGGGGAAGTATTGCTGTATATATTATTATTTGGATCATCCCTTGACCGAGCACCACGAAAGCGCTTTATATGAAATATGCACCTTTTTGCCATTTTGAAGCTAATGCATCTCTCATAGAAATCCTTGTCCCTTTTGGGGAATTGGCCAGGAACAGATGGTTACCACCTGGCGCGAGGTCTATAAGGTCTGGATGCACAACAACCCTCATCGGCGACCCAATTCCCCTCTTCTCCAAAGGTGGGCGCTTAGGTTCGATTGCTGACAGCACAGGTTCCAATTAAGAGTTTGGCTGTAGGGGAACAACTCATAGGTGATGATTCATTGCCAATTCCATCAATCGCACCAACAACCTTTCTGGTCATCAATCCCCGCGATACAGATCACTAAAGTCATGTGTTGCTGAAATGATGGATTACTTTTTACTAGACTTAATATATTTAATATACATATATGCAGATATAGGAAATAATTCACTAATATAAAATCGTTAACACGATTTGCTTCGATTTAATTCGTGTAAAAGGATAACAATTATTTTGTTTTCTCACGTGTTAAATCCAATTCGTATAAAAGCATTATTAGGTGTATATAAATAAATATATAAGAATGTATGTATACAAAAACAATTCACTATGTAAATTTGCACTCCGTTGCACGGTTGCGGCTAATTCAAGTCAAACAATAACTAATAACGGATACAGGGCTACTTTTTACGTGCTATCCGCGAGAAATAAAAATTCGTTTTTGCTTATTTTTGTTGTTGTAATATTGAACAGATAGGAACACCGTACAATCCGACCAACGTAGAACGCCTTTCCTACGCTAATTTGAATGGAAAACTAGTCCTACTTAAAAGCTAAATTCAAACTCTTGTTTTTATTCAACCTTTCGCAACTGTCAACTGACATTAAAAAATGCATATAGTCCAAAATGGCGCCCGCTGTAGCGGAGCAGTTATTGAATAACATAGCCAAAATCGTAGACAAGTTGTTACAAGTTTTTTTATGAAAAAAATTTGGATGTTCTTGTTAAGTTGCTTAACTCTTTTTGTCCTAAATTTGGTTTGTTTATAAAACAATAACACTAGTCCTGCAGAAATCTGAAAAAACCTAATTCTTCTTCTCAGAGTGAAATTACTAGAGCTTACAAATTACTCACTTCCGATGTTATTGTTGCGACCCCTGGGTGGAGATGTAGCTTCTACAAAGGATTGCATGCTGATTTTTGTGTGGATCCTGCTTTAGTAATTTGCACAGGGGGTTATAATAGAATTTCTAAACATATTTCTGATTTTTACGTGTAAAATAAAAAAAAATTATAAATACATGCATACATTTTTTTGAATGACAAATCATTCTGTCCTGCACCTTAATTACTTATTTTATTTAATCTATTTGTTTTAGAAAACGACCATATTCTGAAGATTGTTTGGAGCATAGATGGCTTATGTCTTCCGACTATATGATCAAGAAGAGAGAGAGAGCTGTTTTCCTGGGCAGCCGTCTTAAGGTATGGCTATATATATATATATATATATGTGACTATTCAAACATAATTTCTGCACCATTATTTTTAGGAATTTTCTGAAATGTATAAGGAAATGAAGGAAAGTCACGCCACTGCATCTCAAACAATGACTCAGTCTTTGAATGAAGGTTTATCAGCGAGACAGCTATTACGTTCGAACAGCATTCAAGAAGAGCTTTATGCCACATTTTAGCGATGTCTTCCGAAATATTAAATCCATTTTATAAAATTTTGATTTGGTAACATTCAATACATGCATAAAAAATGTACATACACATATATATATAAAAGGCTACCGTGCCAAAAATTATAAAAATCATTACTTCTACTTTTAACTTTAAAACGGAATAAAGGGCCTTCTTCTACTCCTCTACTTCTAGCTTGACTTTAAAGTCAATTTTTCTTCTGCTTCAATATTTAATTATACTTTTCAAAATTGAGGTGTTTTCGCTGTATTTTTGGAAAACAAAGTCTCCTAAAATACTCATTGCTCCATAGCAATTGCTAATCGCAGTCGCGCCATGCAAAGCTCCTTTTCTCTCGATAACTTCTGGGCGACATCAACCCATATCGTCTTAGATTACGCCTTATAGTAAATTACTAATAGTTCTTTCTTTGGTCAAAGACAAATTAAGGGTTTCTGTAGCGTTTTACAAAAAGGTTCGTGACCGTTGCATACTTAAGTAGGAACCAAGGAGGTAATTCGACGGCGCATGTATCAGCTTCTTTGCAGAATACGATCGAACAAAAGTATCTCTACGATGTCCCGATAAGTCAGACATTGTCCAGATATTCAATGTACGACCAATCTTGTATACGACCTCCGTCCGCCGTTATATGTTATGTGCCAATTACTGTAGGATAAGCCTTCTTAATATCGCTTAAAAGATCTTATCAAGCACATTGTGTGGAAGGCTAAAGCCCACCGTCAGCAAGCTGATTAGACTTAATCAGTGTGGATTTAGACCTGGCAAGTCAACTATTGACCAGATATTCACCATACGCCAAAGCTTGTGACTTGTGTGTCTTTTTTAACTTATTGCTGGAGAGAATAAAATGAGCTGCATAATTGAATAGAAAAGATACTATCTTCCATAAGAGTGTACAACTGCTGGCGTACGCCGATGATATTGACATTATTGGCCTCAACAACCGCTTCGTAAGTTCTGCTTTTTTTAAACTTGATGAAGAAGCGAAGTATACAAACAACCAGTCACCGCACTCGCAACTCGGCTCTCACGTCACTGTTGACAGTCATAACTTCGGGCTCGTAGAAAATTTCGTCTATCTAATGACAAGTATTAACACCAATAATAACGTCAGTCTTGAAATCCAAAGCAGAATCACTCTTGCTAAAAGGTGCTACTTTGGACTAAGTAGTCAATTGAAAAGTAAAGTTCTCTCTCTGAAAAATGGATGAGAGCACTCTAACCAGATCAGGCTTCACTTGGTATTTCCAACTGGCGCCGAACAGCGAAAAGAAGAGATTCGGCTATTCCGGTAAGCGGGGTAAACGCCAATAGAAAAGAATTCTCCTAATATTGAATTTCTAACTGTGCTGGAAGAAGTAAGGCTTAAGAAACTTACAGCACGGCAAATATCTAACTTCATCGGCAGCAATAAACTCCTTTACCCTCTATAGAGTAGTTTCAGAGTTTGTCATTCATGTCTCACTGCTATTGTTAAAGTATCAGATGATATACGTCAGCCTTTCGATCAAGGTCATTCAACACTATTTTGATTTCTTGATTTTTCTAAACACAATCTATTATTGAGAAACTAGCTAAGCATGTATTTCATTCGTTAATCATAGTTCTAATTTTGTGCATATGTACTCTGGTATTCAGCAGAGATTTATCTTATGCATCTCTTATTTACTACCGAGAATTTCAAAATTGTCACATGTTTGTTTTCATTTTTCAAAAAATATTAATATAAATCACTCGAATAATTTTTTTTTTTCAAATTTTTGTCCACAATATCCCACTATACCGCTATACCTAATGGCATCGAATTTTTAAATAAGATTTTTCACAAGATATGGATCATCCATTTCTCAAAAGCTATTTCGCAGGCAAAGAAAATATGCCAAAATCGGCGTTTTTGTTTAATATTTTATAATATTGCGCGATCGCTTTGAATTTTGATAATTTTAACGTTTTCGAAATTGTTTTCTCATGCAATTCGTATTACATGACACCAAAAGTAGGAGTTGCTAGCCACAAAAATGTTTGTTAAAAAATAATAATAATATTCATAAATTAAATTTTTTTTTGAAAACAAAATACATTCGTCCGACATAAAACTATTCATAATAATTGTGATTATTATAAATAATTTACTAAAATTTAATTCAAGGCTTTAGATTTATAGTCAAAATGTTAAGTGTTATTTTAAAATATTCGGCAACCCACAAATTGAACCAACTTCGTTATTATACATATGATTTCGCTCTTAACGTAACCTTGTGTTCTATAAACCCTGAGGACAAATTACCTTAAACTAGTTGACAAGGCCAAGAACTTGGGTTACGTCACCAACTTCTGACTTTCGTGAAATGATAGTTTAATTAAAGTTGTGAATAAATAATTTTTTACATTACAATGTCTTAGAGTAACTTACATCATGTACCTCTAAACACTAAGAAAAAGTTTACTGCAAATTTAACTCTCATTCACGGATAAAAATGAACATCGCCATTAACTTTGCCACGATGGTAGACACCTTGTCGTTGGTGAGGGGGCTTATATGCTTGATAATCAGTCCTATTCAAGGAGACAAAGTTGGCAGACAAGTGACAACTAGCCTGCCAACTTTCGATCTAGTAAAATGGGCTGCGGATCGAGCAGTAACCAAGCACTAGCGCCCCTCCTAAGCCAGGGTGGTTGGTTAGCCTGCCAACTTTCGATCTAGTAAAATGGGCTGCGGATCGAGCAGTAACCAAGCACTAGCGCCCCTCCTAAGCCAAGATGGTTGGTTTGCAGCTGGAAGGGGCGTCCTACTTCTGGCACCTTCAGATCTTCTTTGATTCATTTCTATTTTACTATCCTTTGGAGGCGAGGTAACATGCCCTCTATGCGCCCCATTGAATTATTTGGTAAGGTATGTGTGCCCTCAGGCCTGACCCTATTCCTACCTGGATATCTAGGTCTTCCCTTCTTCGTTGGTCTATTCTTCGGTGAGATACCTCTGTCCAACGTTCAGCTGATTCTTTGCGCCCCTGGTTTCGGCTGGGGGAGTTCAATCTTTACGGAGGTCTAAGGCCCTCAACGCTCTGACTTTTCCGCTCGGTGTTGTTGTCGCTGCTGTCTCCGATTTGACTTCTTAAAGTTCGCGATGTGCATCTCAGTGGAGGTCTGAGGCTGTCAACACTGATGCTTGATCGCTCCGTCGATGAACGCCTACTTTCTGGCTAGTAGTCTGCAACTACGTGCACCTGACATGCTACGTTCCCGTTCGTTGATTTTGCCATGGTGTTCTCTTTGACTTTCTCTTCGATGAGTCTTCCTTTCAGCCGTTTCATCTATGCTGGCCAGCCTGCTCCTTCCTTCTTTGCGCTGCCTTTGCCAAAGATTGATTTATTGCTTCCTGGAAGTGTTTGGAGATCTCGCGAGGCAGCTCAGCGAGTACTCCCTTGCTTTTAATGCAGCCCTCCTGAGACAACTCAGCGAGGGAAGCATTATTGGCTTTACGACTTCCAGAAGCTATAAAAGTTGTCAGAGTTGCGGTGCTTCCCAAAGGCTTCCCTAAGGAGTAATAATGAGTTAATAAAGGGCTGGAAGAAGTTGCTTGCCTTCACTGGAGTAACATTTAGACCAGGGCTACTAATAGCGCACTGAAAAGACAGTAGCACAGCCGAAGAGAACTGACCACGAAAGTGGGTGAAGAAGTGCAAGACGAAGGGCTCCACACCACTGGAAGGTATTGGACGAACAGGCTGAAGGAACGTGTCTGAATCTATATCTCTGTGTAGACGACGAGTCGTTCAACTCTATATCGAAGAACAGCTTCAGGTTAAATTTTAGACAGTATACTTTCCAAACCTTGGAGATCAGTAAGGCAAGAAGAAGCGCAACCAGATCAAATAGAAGCTGAAGCAGTGGAAGAAGGGGGGTTGCTGCCTCGGTGGTAATAACGCATAAATTAGCCTCGGATGATCTGGGCGTTGTTCTGGCGCAAGGGCCATGGACCTACAAAGGTCAGGTAAGGTGATTAAAAGGCAAATTCACTAAGGTTATATGGGATCTTACAACCCTAGAGCATGTATGATTCTTAAAAGAAGCATAAACTACATCTGTCTTTCAGAATTTATAAGTAGAGACCTGGTAGCAATACAAATTACAAGGAAAGAAGTAGAGTTAACATAGTATACTTCCCGGGAGACAGCAACATTATGCCAGCTCCAGAATCGGAACTTCTAATAGAATACTGTAAAAAAGAATGAATTCCGCTAGTAATAAGCTGCGATACAAACGCGCACAATACAACATGGGGAAGTACCGACAACTACGCAAGAGGTGAGTCCCTATTAGAATTCATGCTAAGTAACGATGTCCATGCAGCCAACGTGGGGTGTACACCCACATTCGTTACAAGGAATAGGGAAAACGTACTAGATATTACAACAGTAAACATCTGGCCTGAGAGTATGATCACACAATGGATGGTATCGCCGGAACCGTCTATGTCAGATCTTAGGATCATACAATTCTCTGTAGACTGGTAAAACTAAAAGAAACCCAAGGAAAATTGACTGGACAAACTACAAACCTCTGTTAGATTTAAAAATAAACAGGGAAGAAATAACAAACAAAGCAAAGAATTTCCAAGAGTTAGAACAGAAAGTAGAGTACTTAAATAACAGCATAATAGAAGCATTAAACTCGAACTGCAAGTAGTCTAAAGCGAGAACATGTACCCCGTGGTGGAACGCACACTTAGCATCACTAAGAAGAGATGTAAGAAGATACTTCAATAAAGCAAAAAGAAATGATAGCTGGGAGAAATGCAAAAGAACTCTTACCAACTACAATAAAGAACTAAGGGAAGCAAAAGGATCGAACTATAGGAACTTCTGCGAGGGTGTATCCTCTGTACCGGAAGATGGCAGATTACATAAAGCACATTGCTTAAAGATACGGATGGAAGTAAAGCTGGAAGATGATCAATACACCAAGAATGAAAAGGAACGAGCGATGGTCCTTCTCAGAACTCACTTCCCAGACTCAACTACAGATGCCTGGCTCTTAGCCAAAAAGATAATCAACTATAGTTCAGTAGAATGAGCAATTAATTCCTTTGAAAAATTCAAATCCCCAGGAATAAACGGTAAATGGGCAGCACTATTACAAAATGGAGAACTAATAATTTCCG